TATCTTTGAAAGTGTTTGTGTCTTTTTACATGATACGAATTATAGGTGGGGGCTTGGCACCGAACAGTAGAAAAGAGGCTTACATTTTATTTTTCAAGTTACAGCATCTCAGACATCACACAGAAAGTCTTGGTATCTCTCAGAAATGGTTTGCATGTGCCTCTGCATTTATTTCCCAGTAGAATTACTGGGATTTTTTTAGTCTCTATTGCCTAGTGCCTGCCTGGAGATACAGACAGTGACACTTCTCCCTCTCCAAGAATGTGAGCTGTATGTCCTTCCTTTGTCAGAAGATCATTTCAGGTGCCTGGGGTGAGGTGACTTCAAAAGGGAACATTCCCAAATCTCTGCTCACATGGGAAAATGGCACACATGAATTGTAGCATAGATTATGCATTGAGCAGTCCAGTCCCTCAGAGGGATACCTGCTCATCACAGCATTTATTTTAAACTTCAAATAGGATGGTGGCATTCTGATGCTTATCTGAGTTGCAGGATCCATCTGGGTGGCCAAGCTACTCTGGCATAATTTTCCAAAGCCAAGTCCAAAAAGATTAACCTTAAACTTGCCCATGGCAAGCTGTTATTTACAAGATGGTTCTCACTGTCATTCCTGGATGAAAGAGTAGAGGCCAAAATATTCTTCAGCACTGAGAATGTCAGCCTCTCCGACCAGCTGATAAGAATGTCTGGTTTGCTGTGTCCTGGAGTCCATGCACTCCCAAATTCCTAATTCTGGACAGCACATACCAGGTGTCACTGAGAAAAATCCTTTGTGTCCCATCAAATGTTTTGTAGCTCCTTCTGCCTCCTGGCTGTTTCACAGGATTACTCGACATGCCTGTCCTCTAACTGGAAGAAAAATTCTCCACTTGTGGGAGATTTGGAGCATTTTTTGGCCTTGCACAGGGCAGGAGCAAAGGCCATCACTTCTCAGCTGGAATGAGGTGAACTTGCTGCCAGGCAGGCAAGGAGGGCTGTCCCTAGAACGCTTTTGGGCCCCTCCCTGATCTCCCCTAAATTCTGCAATGACAAAATGACAGGGACACTGGAGAACTCATGTGAATGCCATCAGTGCCACCTACTGCTCTGTGTCACAAGTGCAGTGTTGTGTGCATCAGTGACTGCTACAAAGCCCTGTCCTTTCCTCCTCTCAAATTTAACTCAATATCTATGCATTTTTAACATCTATGTCTAATTTTTTTCTCCCAAATTTAGGCAAACCTGAAAACCCTAGTTCTGTTCAGAGCAAACCAGCCCTAGACAATGGTCTTCTCTTAAACTTCAACACATGGACAGTGTCTCTTCCTTGACAGGCACCTTCTCACTTGCAGCCAGGAGGCTGAGGTTGATATTCCAAGAATAAAAGGTCTGGAGTGGTTCTGGTGGAAGGACTGTGGTATGAAGACAACATCCACAACTCACTTCTTGGGATGATATTCTGAGTTAGTTGCTCTACCCAAATTGGAATTGGACCAAAGTGTGCAGACAAGACAACAGCCTAGAGGTAACAGTTTCAAAATGAGATTTGGGTAGGGCAGAATGTACAGCATCATCCCTGCATTGCTCCCTCTTAGAACTCTAGGGAACTTGGGGAAAAAAAAAACAACACTTTTTGTATGTTTCTCTTCAAAGACCTTGCAAACTCAGCCTTCACATTGTCCAGTATTCTTGCAAACAAAATTATTTCACTTCTGTCAGCTGAAAAAGAATTTGGTGGGGTAACAACTGGTGTCTGGCAGAATTGAAACACAATGAATATTGTATTATTCATGTGCACAATGTAGTTTATGATAAGAACAATATGAGAAGTTAGGCTGGACTCAAAACCAGTCCCACTGGTTTCCAGATTTCTGGGAAATATTTTAATCAATGTTACATTTTAAAAGCCAGTCTTTCTGGTATGTTTCCATCTCACTACTTCAGCAGCTGGCCTCTGTTTGGTGCAGAAGGAGCAAACTGCATGACTGAAGTCACAACCTTTCCCTGCCTCTGTGACAAAAATGACACATTGTTCTAGTGGCAGCAGAGTGTCTCTTTCAGCACTTGCACCTCACTGCACTTCCCATGGAGGACAGCTAGAGGCTGCCCTTCTTAAAAAAGCAGAATACAGTTTTTTTTCTGAAGAGCTTTTATTTTGTCTTATATGTGCACAGCAACACCCAACCTCCTTTATGGCCCTAAACCCAGATAACTCCAGCTGCACCCCAAATATCCCACAGTTAATCCTTACAGGCCATAAATATAATGAATAGGGTCCTTTGCCCTCTAGCAATTAAGAACATTTGCAGGGATGAAAGTTTCTGGATTATCTGTTGGAGCTTGCCTTTTCTGGGCACTTCAAATACTTTTCGCTTACTAATAACAGAAAAGCAGGAATTTGGGATGGCATTGTGTGAAAAAAACCCTCCTTCTTTAAGACATACAATTTGGATAAAATGAAGTGTACTCAGAATACAAAGGAGTGCTGATGTTTACTGTGCTACTGAGCACTTTTTATCAGATAAAAACTCCATTATCTCCAGACTGCCAAAGGTGAGTTACTCCCAGGTTCACTCAAGGATGGCATTGCCAGTGCTTGTGGAATTCTCATAGTATCTGACCATTCTTTCTAACTAACTAAACCATTCACCAAGGTTTAAGGAATTATATCATCTTTGGTCAAAATCAAAGAATAAATGAATTATCATCTTATTACAAACAGAAGCTGGAAAAACGTGACACTCAAGAATCTGAAAACCACAGATTAGGTGAGGAGCTTGAAAAATTTGCTGCTACAACTTTTGTTCATGGTTGTAAAATTATTTGCATGTTTTTCAGGCTTTTGAATGCTTAGGGACATTGGTATGTCAGTGAACCAGTGCCACTGGTTATCTGGCATCACTAATAGGGGGTTTTTTAGAGGGATGGAACACCTGTCCTATGAGGAAAGGCTGGGAGAACTGGGAATGTTCAGCCTGGAGGAGGCTCTGCAGTGACTTTATTACAGATTGAAGGGACGGTACAAGGCAGCAGCAAAGGGACTTTTTACAATGGCCTGGAGTGACAGGAAAAGGGGTGATGGCTTTAAGCTGAAAGGCCCTGGCACAGGGTGCCCAGAGCAGCAGTGCCTGCCCCATCCCTGGCAGTGCCCAAGGCCAGGCTGGACAGGGCTTGGAGCACCCTGGGCTAGTGGAAGGTGTCCCTGCCCTTGGCAGGGGGTGGAATTAAATCTTTAATCTCTTCCAACCCAGAACATTTTGTGGTCCCTGGAGAGGTAACTGATGTGACCAGTTTTAATCAAAATGGCTTGAGAGCTGTGTGAAGAGCTTCAGAGCCAGTGGTGCCCAGCCAGCAGTGGGGATGGGCCCCCCACACCCACAAATCCGTCAGGCTTCCCTCGGGGATGCTGCAGCTCCTGGGATTGACTCGCAGTGAGGGGGATTGTGGTCAGTGAGGGGTGCCAGGGGCTCACTGCGCCCCTGTCACCTTTAAAATGAGAAATTTGGCTGTGTATTCATTGCACAGGGTGAGGAAAACGTGTGGGATGGGGATGGAGCTGTCAGCTGCTTTGTTCTCTGCTCTCCGCTCCTCACCTGAGGTGGCCTTGGCACACCTGGCAGCCTTAGGCCTCGCCCTCGGCATGAATGTCCCAGCAAAGCTATGAAACTCTGACTTGGGCAGGTTGGTGTTCAGAAGTGAAGTGAGCCTTAATGTATTACTGTTTTTTCTTTTAAATAGCATGAGTTTTCAGCTATGGGGTGATCTGGTTTCCTACCTACTCCGGGTAGTAAAAGCCACAGCTGCTCCAAAAAGAATGATTCTTGGCCAGGTCTTTTTTTTAGAAACTGGTGCATAGGGCAACTCAAACCATTGAGACAAAATGACACTCAGCCAATAAACCCCTGAATCTTTCCCTGGCTTCTTACCAGGCTCTTTTCTGAGACAGCTCCATTTCTTAACCTGCAAAAAAATTTCTCTGCAGGTTTTTTCAGTGAGCTGTATCCACCAGCTCAGGGGTGGGTTGATTGCCATGAATGCAGAGAGGTCTCGGAATGTAGAAGTGGAAGAGCAAGTCTTTTGGGGGGTAGGTATTCTTTAAGGCAGGCTCAGCTGTGCCTTGCATTATATATTATGTCTAAGAGACTTCTGTGCTGATGGGCTGCCTGTCTCCTAAACCAATTGTCTTGGACTGGTTTTGCCTTAGGTGAGCTCAGAGCCTTTTCCCCTATGCCTGCTGGTGCAGTGGTATTCACAGTGCCAGAGATGTCCTGGAGCTCACTTGGAGATTTGCTCTCTGCTGAACTCTGGGTTTTGGGCAGATTGTGCTCTAAGCTGAGAATCAGATTCAGCTTGCACAGCTGTCCCAGAAGCACTGGCTTTTCAACCAGACATGTAATATAAGCATCTAGCAAGCAGACAGCTGCTCTGGGGAGTTGTGACAATCTCAGGCTGTGAGTTAGGGACCAGCATCTCTGTAGATGTGTGTTCAGTGCTTACAGCATCCCAGCTCTGTGCTGGAGAAGACAGGGGCATGCTGTGCCCTGATTTAGTACTCACTAAGCTCCCTGGGTAGAGGACATGAGCCCAGAGGCCAGGAAAGACCTGTGGCATAGAAAAAAAAACTAAACAGGTGGAAAATCAGGGACAGGACTGCAAGCAGGGGCAGAGTGCATGCCAAAACAGGGGTAGAGCCTTTGTAGCTCTTTAAAAGCTGGCAGGGCTGCAGAGCTGCTAAAGCAGCCACCAGCTGATGCAGAGTCCTGGGAACAAAGCTGGAGATAATTGTGGAGGTCGGAGATGAGGTAAACTCCAGCTTACAGACTGCTGAACTGACAAAGAAGAGGTAACAGCATTTAACCTGGCAAGGAACCCAAGAGACATGGTGTAAAATGAGTCTAACTCCTGCAGGCAGCCAGCAGGTAGGAAAACTCCACGGGTGTAAGGGGAGGGTGTGTCTCGAGGGGAGGACTCAGGGGCTGGACTCGAATCAGGTGGTGAACTCAAAGTGTCCTCCCTGTTAGAGTTGGCTCAGGGTGGTGCTGACTTTACAACTCTCCAATGTCAACTGTTCCTGAGGTGGATACTGAATGCTGTGGTTCAGGAGCTCAAAATCATCTTTTACCTTCTTCTGAGAGAAGAAAAAGAAAGAGCTGTGGCCCCAAAACAGTCAAGACCTTTCTCAGGTCAGTGTTAAATTCTTACCTCTCCAAGCAGCTGCTTCTCAAGCCCTGAGGATTTCACTGAGCCAATTTAATGCTGGTGGTCAGACAGTTTAAACCCATTAGCTCCCAGCTATCTGAATAATTTTCTCCTGGGATACCAGCACACGAGCAGACTGCTCTAACCAGAACTGCAGAGCCTGCCACGGGACCTGGACCTTTGCTGACTGCTGTGGCCTGTGTGGTGAGCACTCAGGGGCTGAAGAAAATGCCACTGGCAAGATCCCTGTCCATGACATCTCTGAATGGGCTTCTGCAGTGTGAGGATGAAGACCTGCCCGTGGAGGATTTGTTGCTCTTTGAAATTTCTTGGGAAGTTACCAACAAAGGTTTGTACCACACTTGGGGGTTAGTATTGCTGTTTTCTCAGGAGTGGAGGGAGAGGGTGAAGTGCTGGAGAAGAAAGGCATTCACAGGGAGGTTGGAGAGAGCTGTAGAGCTGCTGGATTGCAAGAAGTGCAGGTGTGTAATGGTGCATGCTGAGTGTGGGCTGCATCTGCCTGAACTTGTGTAGGATGGGCAGAGCCAGGATATCTCTGTGTCTTTTTGTGTTCCACCACCAGGGAGAGGGGGTTTGAACACCTAAGTGATAAGTCCGAGCGTGCAGATATATAAATTGCTTTGTGCATCCTTAGGTTTTGCCTTCCATGCAAATTCACTTGGGCATGTCATGCATGGAAATGAGCTGTACAACAGAGATCAGATGCACAGCAATTCAGCAGTGCCCCCTCAGCCTTCTAGAGCAGTGTGGAGAAGAGGCCAAGCCTGGAAGGGGTATAAACAAATAGAGCTGTGTTACAGCCACTGAACAAAGCCCCGGAGTCAATGACCAGCAGGCTTTGTGTGCCAGCTGAAACTCTTCTGGACTGCTCTTTGCAAACACAAATTTGTGTTTGCAAAGAGCAGGTGGTGCCAGACAGGGGCTTCATTTGTTCATTGGTTGCTGCTGGTCAGGCAAAGGGCATGCTGCTTGTTAGGCAAAAATCCTCCTGCTTCCATTTCTAATTCATTCATCAAACTGTCCCCTTTCAGGTACATGTAGTTCTGCAAGCTTCCATTTTCACTGCAAAAGTGAGTTAGTATGAGTAAATGATTGACCTCATCTGTGTTGCTGTCCTGGTAGATAATTGGAGATTAATCAGGAGAGAGGCTCTGTAAACTGTTAAGAATTTAACTTTAAAGAGGAAATGTGTGTGAGAGGAACAGGCAGTGCTGGGGTTTATGCTCATGGGGAAACCGGAATTACTGTTTTGTGATAATTTCTGCTGTTTTACATTGCTCTTTTTAGGGTGATGAGCCCTATTAATACCCAGAGGCGAGACAGAGTAGATTTGGCAGTTTGAATCCCTGTAGGTTTATTTTTCAGTAGCTTCAGCCAAACTTTTAGAGTAATTTATTAAGGCCACAACTTGGAGCATGCAGCATTCATTTTTGTAGTGTGTGTGATAAGTAAGGCTCTGGCAAGCAGATGGCAGCAGAAATCTAGGAAATTCAGGAGTTCTCATTAACTTCTCTGAACTCCACAGCATACATATTTTCTGAATCATCTGGACCCAGTGGTTGTAGTTATCACACAAGATATTTAAGAGAAGATAACCCAATTAGATTTTCCCAGAGCATGTACAAAACATAGAGAAACATTAATCATCCACAGAGCTCTGGCTGACTTCACTGGAGCCAAATCAGCTGACACAGCTAAAATTTACTATTCACACATTTTATGAGAGAATAAATACTAATAAAGTCAAATTTATTCAGTGTGTTTAAAAATAAGGTTCCTTTGCTTACACCACTTTCCAAGCCCACACATTCAGACAGGGCTGAAGGAACATGGCATGGAAAACAATTTCTTCATTAGAATCTGATGTTGTGCAAAGTTTCTATTAACCAAGCTTGACTATAAACCTTTGTGCAAAACCCCTTTTATAATCCCTTTTCAGCCTATTTTTCTGGTAAATTCTTCATACTGAGGGTTTGGGGGTTTTTTTCTATATCTTCCAGGCAGCTGAATGTCTAAGTCACGTGGTGAGAACTGTTCCCTGGTGACCTAACTTTTGTAAATGGTTCTGGGAAAATGTTAGGGCACTGTGAGAGATGTGAGAGAGAGCAGACAGCAAAACACAGGGAGAGTCATCACAGAAGATTTATAAGTTTAGGAAATAATAGTGGAAGCTTGCAGAACTACACCTACCTTGTACTGTATATTTCCTAGCTCTTTTAGCAGGAGAAATTGTTTATTTGATGAAATAAGCTGACCACACAGAGATTTAGTTCTGCTGCATGTTTGTAGTGTTTGTGCTGCTGCATATGTTCCTAACACAGAGGGCAAGATAAACATTAGCTGGACTTATTGCCTGATAAGCTAATTTTAAGCATTTAATATGAAGGTTTCTTTCTTCTTTTCTGGTAATGCAAAGGCATGTCAGAGGAGCTCAACTTGAAGTTGGTTTGCATTTCTGAGGTGTTGTAAAGCTGCTGCTGCCCACAGGAGCGAGTACCAGTCTTTGTGTTAATTTTGGTGTATCACCAGGTGCTTGGGTACATTTCCTCCTTGGCTAGTGCTGCTTCTTAGTAATCCCTCCATTTCTTTTGTGGCACTGGCAATCAGGCTGAATTGTCCTCTTTCCTGTGAGGAAGGTGATAGCAGAGCTCACAGGTGGATATCCATCCCTACACCCTGTAAGCAATGACCTTTGCAGGTGCTGAGCTGAGCATCTTCAGAGCCAGGGATGGCGAGGGGCTCCTAAAAATTGGAGAATACCTGATTGTGTAGAGGGGGAGCAAGCATTCCATGGCTTTTCCCTGATGGTGCTGGTTGTTACTGAGGCATGAGGTGCAGCTGTAGGGAAGAACCAGATGGTTGTATGAACTCAGGGCTCAGAGATCTACAAGTATCCATCATTTCCAGAGTCTCATCTCTTCTTTGTCAGCAGCTGGAACAGGGAAGTTGTCTCTCCTTTTGTTTTAAGAATGGATAATTTAATACATGCTCTAACAAGGCAGTTTCTACTTCTCCATGTTTCCTTTTTGCATTTGCTGTCCTGGCTGCAGCCTGTGCTAAGTTACAACCTCTGGAGATACAGAAAATATTGGCCTTTCAGTTACTGCTCTCACTATTCTCTGTCCTGGAGCAAGCAAAGATAAGGTAGCTGGAGGAGAAAATGGGAAATATAAAGGGCTCATCTGCCAGTGTTACTCTCTCCCTCACCCTTCCCCCAAGTCACATGAGAGGGAATTTGCCACCTAAACCACAGTATTGAAATCCTCTGGCATTGAAAGTCTTCTGCCAAAGAAATAAGAAATGTGTAGTTTGTTTTTTGAGATTTCCCTCACTTTAGTTGGCATTTCACTGATGGGCAAAACCCTGTGTGAAGTGAATCTACAGTGTTTCTGTGGCAGGAGGGGAAAAATTCAAGCAGTGAAGGGTCCCAGTCCACTGCAGTGCCACCAATCTGGTGGTAATCATGGGGGAGATCAGCATTTTTAACTCTTCCTTTCTCTCCTGGCCATCGTGCTCTAGTAAAGTGAGGCCTGACCATACAGCTATGGAAAAAAGGACTGGTTTCTTTCCTCTGTAGAAGACCATTAAAAGATTTAAGTACAGGAGCACAAAAGAAATAGCTACTGAGCTATGAAGATTTTGGACCTGGGTTGAGTTTGTCTGTAGTGGGATTTTTGACACATAGGTTAGAAGGGCTGAGAATGTTCAAGATCTGCTCTTTCCTCTATAAAGATGTCTTGAAAATAATTCCAGTGATATTTAGATTAATATGCCTTGCTGTACCACTCACAGCTTTTAGACAGAAAGTAGAAGAATGCTTAAAAATGCTGGGCAAACATCCAGCTTGTGTCATCATTCAGCTGTGAACAGCTTAGCTCAAGAGTCAGTGGTAGATCAATCTCAAATATTTTTATTCCATCCCCATTGGAACGAAGACGGTGCTAAAAACAAAACTTGTTTCAGCTCTCCCTGGAGCAGAGATCTTGGTTCAGTTTCTCTGGTGAAAAACTGGATGTTTGGAAATTAAATCCTGAATCCACTGAAGTCATTAGGGCCAGCATTTTACCTCCTCTGTGTCTTCCCATGATGAAACTTCCTTGGAAGAAGGTGATTACTGTAATTTGTGACACAGCTGAAGTAACACCCTTTTGGGAGTGGGGATGTGCTGGCATAAACTTGGCATAAGCACAGCCTCAGAGCTCTGTGCATTTATAGAGTGGGGTGGAATATCAATGTCAAATCAATTCCAAATGAAATCCTGTGCACTGGGGATGATGCACACAGAAATAGCTTCTCAATTGTGGACATCTGTCATAAGTTTCAATGGTTCAGTATTATTTCAGAATATGTTTGGAATTGTCAGAATTTCAAAGAATGTGGAGTCCTGGCCACAAGCATAGCTCAAAAACCACAGGAAAGATATCTGCTGGCTGAAGATATTGGTTGTTTTTCACCTGACACATTTTACTACTTGATTTTGTTAATGGTACCTCAACAGACAGAATGATTTGACAGAATCAATCAGATTCCAGTCAAATGTTAGAAACAAGTTCAATCTGAATTTTTATCACACCTGTGCAGATCAAAGACTTATTCTGAGGAGAAGGGTGAAATAATTGATGTGAGAGTGATTGTGGCAGTTTGAATCCCGAGCCTGGGCTCATGCTGCTCCCATGGATCCTGTGCCTCTCGTGGTTCTTAGGAAGCTTTGATGCCTTCAGAGTGGCCTGGTCAGGACGTAGCAAAGAAGCTGCAGAGCCCTGGAATCATCCTGATGCTCTCTCTGTGTGGGAAAGGATCAGTGACAATATCCACTTACCTCTGTCTCACTTCCATAGTTCCCTTCCTATTTCTCTCCCTCATTTTTGGTTTCTGCTGCTCCTTCACTCCATCCGTCTGCAGTGTGGGGTGGGTAGGAGGACAAGCTCTGACTGCTGCTTGGATTTTAAATATACAGAAGAAATAATACAGCAGGACTTGAAACAAGGAAAAAAGAAAACACTGGAGTGATGCAGAACTCCTTTCGATAAATTATAGTAGTGTTAACACAGATAAAAAGGTTTAGAGTTTAAAAATAATTCTGTGGAATTTTCTGAGATATATTTTGGTTTCATCTTCTATTTTTTAGAGAGGTCAGTAAAAAGACATCAAACTTCCCTTAAATTAACATAATCCTTCTTTCCCAAATAACTGAGCTCCCCCTTCTTTGCCGGTTTATTTTTCCCTTAAAAAAAAAAAAAGAGGAAAACCAGAAAGGAGATAAATAGGGGGAAAGATTTTTTTGTTGATTTCCTTTTAAAGTTGATTTCATTTATTGATAGAAAGGTTAAAAGCATGTTTTAAAAAGAAATAATAGAAATATATTTATTTCAAGGATGTTTTCAAATTACTAAAACTTAATATTTTGAATAAAGCATTTTGTTGAACATCAGAAAACTAAATTATTACTGTATCAACATTTTACTGCTAATTCCCCTTGTCTGTGATATTCCAAACAAGTTCTCTTGTTCTGATCTCTACTGACTCTCTATTGGTTTCTCGTTTTGTCATTTCTTGTTTGCTTTAACCCTGATTCAAAGTACAAAATTTCAGAGGCAGCACAGAGAAACTTGCAACATTTTGGTACATCGCTGTTGTTTGGAATGGTTTTCTGTTTTTAGTACGACCTAAAACATCGTATTGGACAAGTAAAAGAAGGGTTACCAAATTGTTGAAGCAGTTTGAGAATTCTGTGAGCTGAACATGTAAGCCTCTACTCTGTTACTCAGTAGATATGTAATGTTTTGCTTACTGGCACAGATATTTCCAGGGAATTCAAAGCAACTGAGCATGTAGAAACAGTCTCTTAAAAGATATATAATGTGTTCCTTGAGTTTGCTATGGAGAAGTGTAATTTCAAAAATCAATACATTATTCTAGGCATTGCTCTGTTATTCTGAAGATGTCTTTTTTAAGTTATACCCAACACTTCCTACATACATAGTTTCACTTGCAGTTTCCCTCTGCTGTCAATTAAACCTTATGCACAGACATGCTTTGTGAGTCATATTTCCACAGTAACAGGGAAGACAAAAGCAAGTCTGGGGGCCAGGTAGCATTGCTTTTATCACAGTTACCTTCTGAGGAATTTTAACAATCTGTAAAATGTACTCCTTGGATTTTATCATAGGTACTTTTTATTGCATTTCAGCCAAATCTGTGCCCTGAAATGTTTTAAATGTTGTTTTACCTTGCTGTGCAACAGATTATGGCATACTCTCCTTTCTTTCCCCCATAAGAGGCCTTCTATACATCTTTGTCCCTTTAGGGCACACAGTTTCTTTCTTGTGGAAAGAAACACTCAGATGCTGGCTATGTGAAACAAAGATCCAGTTCTACCCAGCCCTTGAGCTGCAGCTTCTTCATTTCTCCTCAAATCCATGGTTGTGGAAAGTCAGCTGTGTTGCCAATCCCAGTGTTGAAGCCCTTGCAGTATGGAAGAGGCTTGTCCATGCTGCTGGGATGGGGGAAAGAGCTTTGCTTCACTCCAGGCATATACAGCTTTATCATGGTATTTAGTGTCTTTCATCTTGCAAGTCATGTTTTCTGTTTTTCCTGGATCACCAGGCTGCTCTGCACTAAAATCTTCCCTCATTCTAAGCTCTGTATCCCTGCCAATTCAAACCCAGCCAGTTTCATGACTAAGATTTCTACCAAGCCTCATAGTTATCCATTTTGGATTGAAGTCCTTTATGCTCCTATGATGAGTTTACAACCCCATAAAAACAGATGTATCATTATAACTATTGCTTTATAGGTTGAATGTTCTGATTTCTCTCATATAATTAAAATGTTATGTTTATCTGAATCTAAGCTATTCAAATAGACTCAGCTTGTGAGCAGAGAAACTTGGAGGGGAAATACAGTGTTATTTATCTGAGATTGCTCTAAATCCCTGTCCAAAGCATAATTTATAGTCATCATATGATGACTATAAATTACTTTCTTAAACTTTCTGGTCCTGCTGAAGGGGAGAATAATAGTCATAGGTATAGGCTTCCTTCTGCAATTCCATGGCTACATGATGGGAAACTCTTGAACTGACAGCTTGATTTAGGAACAGACATCTGCAAGATTCTTGTCTTCTCAGGTCTTGAATTAGTAAAGGTAATAATTTATTGTACTAGTTCTACTTAGCAAGCTGGTAGATTGGAACTGTTGTTGTTGTTGGGTTTTTTGTTGTTGTTGTTGTTGTTTTGTTGTTTTTTTTTGTTTGTTTGTCTTTGCAAATACCTAGAATCCTGAGACATAAAAATATTAAGACCAGGGATCCTTCCAGCATTCAAAACAAATGGGACATTTGTAGAGAAGAGGCATTTAAGTGAACAATTTATTTTCTAGGAGTATAATTAAAACTGTAGCTGTGTCATTTGGCTGCTCAGGGCTGCAAGACTTTGCAGAAGGCTTTCTGTGCTTGTCAGGGGATACAGTTTAATTAATCTGGGAACTAATCTCCCAAAGCGCTGAGCAACTTCAGCTACCGTATTGTACATAGCAGTGGCAGATTTTTAAGGAGAATTAGGTAACTTCTCAAGGGTCTTAATTCTGTTGGATGAGGTGCACTGGCACCTCTGGATATCACAATAGCTTTAAAAGGGTGAGCCTAGAGTGCCAGATCTCAGTCCCTGGCAGCTTTCAGTGCTGACTCCATAGGTAACTTTGAACTTGCTGCTGGAAGCTGTAGCACCATCTCCTTCCCCAGAGTGCTGCCAAATATTTCCAAAGCTTCAACATTCAGTGGAGGGAAAAAATTTTATGTAGGTGCATCAATCCCTTCTGTAGTGCTTCTTTTGCTCTTTGTACCTGTTGAGCTCCTTCTCTCCCACCTTGCTGGAGTTATGCTCATTGTTTCTGGTGTTAGCAGCTGCTTGGCTTCAGGTTTTCTTTTCCCTTGCCATCCCACCCCCTTGCTGGATTCAAGCATACCTTATTGTTCTTCTGACTTGGTGGTGGTGCAGTATCCACTGTCTGGCGCCCTGGGCACTGTGGCAAAGGGAGGTTTGCCCTGCCAGTGTGTGTGAATTCCAGGGCTGGCTATGGCAAACTTTGAGCAGGAGCAGCTAAGGGACTCTTGCACACCATGTGCAAGACTGGATGGATCTGTATTGACTTGGCAGGGAATGCTGCTGGAGTCTCTTACACTTATGAATGCTACATTTGCTTTTAAAGCAGACAGTGTTTTGGTTAAAAATGCTACAGACATTTATATTTTAAGTGTAGGCTACATTCCCTTCAACTTTAACAACTCTTCCAGGCTGATAATGGAACAAGACTTCTTATGCTTTGAGGATATTGGGTTAAGTCCATTTTTATAGCCAGTAGTCAATGAAATCCATTGGTTCCTCAACTTCTCTTGGTGATTTGTGTCAAACAAGCTCAGTTCTTACCACGTGATGAAAAATAGGTTTGAAAATTACAACTGAGGCAATAAAGCAAAAGCAGAAGGCTGTGCTTGGGATGCAGCAGAATCAAGATCAGACATGGGAGAGTGGAAGTATGAGGCACAGGATTTTAATCCCCCAACTGAACACTGAAGCTCTGATACCATTTAGGAGACAACTTCTATTTATTTGATTGAGGCTGGATTTCACTTAAAGCCTACATATGTGAAGGGATTTAACTAGCAGTTTATCTGATCCACAGATGGGTTGGAGCTTAGTACAGAGATCTGTGGCCTGTGCCCCTTTCTAATTTTTTGTTCTTTATCTTCTTTTGCAGTGGGAGGCATTTACACTGTGATCCAGACAAAAGCCAAAACTACAGCAGATGAATGGGGCGAAAATTATTTCCTCATTGGCCCCTATTTTGAGCAGAATGTGAAAACTCAGGTGGAATTCTCTGAACCTCCAAATTCTGCAGTTAAGAAGGCAATGGACACCATGAAAAGCCAAGGGTGTCAGGTAAATCAGATGTGTTGCTGCTTCCCAGGGCAACAAATCTGACTCTGAGGAGATTAAAGTTTGGGTTAATGCTCTTGTCGTTCCACTTGACACAGCAGTCCTAGTCAATGTCACAATGGGAAAGGCTCGGAATCCACTGTTAGAACAGCAGAGTCAATTCATTAAAGGTTATTTTTGAGGAAGAACCAGTTCATCCAATTATGGGTTTTAACAGTCATTTATCTGCAAGGCTGCTTAATTGGATTAATTACTTATTTATCTGGTCTCTAAGTATGGTGAGATTTTAGTACATAAAATATGACCTTACTTTGAGCCCTTACATTTCATTTTTGCATGAGAGTGAGAAGAGTGTTCTATTAGCTCTCATTTTTTTTAATGTTGCATAATACTGAGCTGAAAACTAGAAAAGCACTGAGGTGGCAAAGAATCCACTTCCTCACTTCAGTGCAACTAGGTGTCAGTTCCCTGGGAAGAGAGGTTAAACCACGACACCAGAAGTAGATTCAACTTCCTTTCCAACATGATTTTTAACCAGTGTTTTCTGTGTGATCTCATAGCCTTTCTGAGGCTTGGTTTCTCCAACAGTAAAATAGGAATAAACTTCTTCCTATAAAGATTATCTGCTAAAAGAAATAGATTAACTGCTGTGTTGATGGGCAGTTCTTAAGCTGCAAGCAGCTTTGGTTACCTGAAAATGGGTGGAAGGTAACTCATGCTAAATTTGACCTCCTTCCTTGAGGTCCTTATCAGAGATGTAGAACTTGCCTGCACTCTGACTCCGTGTTGAGTCCCCCAGGGATGGCAGTTTGCAGGAGGAAAAATTGTCTGCTCATACTGTGTGCTGAACAAATGTGGATTCTTACTGTTGCTGAGGGGATTGACACACTTCAGTGTAGAAATTCCTGAAGTTCCTGGGTTGCCACCAGCTGTGGCATTGGCAATGCATTGTCTCCCTTTGTAAGAGCAGTTGTGCTGTTCTTAGGATCCAGTGCCCTGTTATGCAGATGTCTTTTGTTGTATGAGTATGTGCCACAGCTTGGGAGGGTGTCTGTTGGGGACACTGACATGATGCTTGAATTGTACAGGCTCGAACTGAAAGGTCCAATCTGCCATTTCTTATCTTTATCAGGTTTTCATAGGTGATTGATTGAGTTTTCCATGTTGCCTCTGTAACACTCCTTTGTCTGGAAAACAGCTTAAGATTTCTGGGGCAGATAGATTACAATGCTTTATGTTTTTCCAGCAATTAAATTTTCCAATTTCATCAGCCACCTCTGCCAGCCCAACATGTGCATGGTGCTGCTGGACTATTCATATACAGCAGCAAATCTGTCCCAGGGATGTCAAATATAGCTTTGATCTCCAATAATGACGCTCTCGTTTCCAGGAGCTGCACTTATCCTATTAACATTTATGTCTGGATTTTGCTTATGCATCACAATGGATGGTTTTAAACCAGGGGACCTAGGAATGCTTCCAAACGTCTCAGGTCAGGTGTGTTTCTTGCCACAACCTGACCGTGTATTTAGATGAAGTCTGGGTTCCCTGCTTTTTAACCTCATTTTCTTGAGTAGCAAATCTGGACAGTCTGAAATAAATACATGAGGAGTGAAAAAGAGCAAACCTGTCTTTGTTATGCCTTGTACTTTTTGTGAAAACAGGCCAAAAGCTTTTATCTTTTTTGTTTTCAAGACCTGACCTCTCTTCAGCTCATTGCAGCATCAGGGCTGGGTTCAACCCCTGAGGTCCCAGCCGTGTTGATGGCAGATTTAATGTGAAATAATTTAACTTTGCAGACTGTAGTGTGGGCCCAGCTGTGTTGGGCAGGCCAGTGCAGGTAGTGAAGTTGTGAATACTCTTAGAAATGTTTAATTATACCAATGGAGACAAAGCAGGAAAGCTGCATTTTAGCCTGATGTGATTTTAGGTATTGAGATACCTTCTGATTGATCCTTCCACTCTTCCAAGTGGAAGTGGAATCCTTCCCCTCTGTGCTGCTTGGGAAGAAGGAAGAAATGTCATGGTAGATACAGGCACCAAGCCTCAGTACTACAAAACCTCTCCCCAGTAATCTAGTGCAAATTGTAAAAGACTGGAGACAAATACGAGCAAAATAAAAGAATAATTTAAATTAAGACCAGAACTGGCATAGATACTTCAATAAAAAGACCTCATTATTCAAGCAAATGTGGTCTTCCTAAACTTTTTTTTTTTTTCTTTCATGGAAAAGAAGTTACTACTGCAATGAAAATCTAAAATGAAAGAGTTAAAAGTAAAATGTTCCCAAAGATTATATTTTCCTTTGCTTCAGTATTATCCCATGTATTTTGTAAAGAAAACTGCAAGTCCTGGGTTATAGGCCTGTGACTTTGTATGAAATACATCAGAAATTTGATGGATGAAGATCATTGTGCTAACTGGCCTTTACATTCACTTTAACATTTTCTTTCTATCCTTCTTATCTTTGCCTCTTTTCCATAGGTCTTTTTTGGAAGATGGCTGATAGAGGGCAGCCCGTATGTCTTACTCTTTGATATAGGATCAGCAGCTTGGAACCTGGACAAGTGGAAAGGTGGATTTTGGGAGGTCAGCAACATAGGGATCCCTTTTCATGACCGAGAAGCCAACGACGCTGTGATTTTTGGATCATTAACAGCCTGGTTTTTGAAAGAGGTACAGTTTTTAAATCTAGATATTTATAGACCAAAACCACCTTGGGATGTGGTAACTATTCTCCAGTTTGAAAACCAAGATTTTTAGGAAGTCGATCTCAGTGTAGATCAAATTTGTATTTAAAACTGAAATGTTTAGTGGTAATTCAACTATATTTTTCCAGAAGAAGGGCAGTGGGGCTGCCCAGTGTGGCGTCTGAGTGACTGTGCTTGCCAAAACCCTCTGACACTCTAGAAAGTTCTGTTCTGAGGCACTAGAGAGGCATAGGTTTTTCTTGGGCTGAGGATTAGGGCTGATGGAAATCAAGGCCCATGTCCTCTTAAAATTGCACTGTTTTGTCACAAGAAGGAAAGCAAGCATACAGAAGGCTTCACAAAAAAACCCCAAAAAACAACAAAAAAACCCCCACAAAAAAAAAACCAACAAAAAACACCAAAAGAAAAGTTCTCTGGGGCTGGGATGGTGGACAGGACAATGTATGTTTAATGTATTTCTTTCTATTTTCAGCTTTCCTGTCAGTTTGATGACAAGCCCAATATAATTGCCCACTTCCACGAGTGGCAGGCAGGAGTGGGTTTAATCCTGTCTCGATCACAGAAACTTCCTGTCGCCACAATTTTTACTACCCATGCAACTCTGCTTGGGAGATACTTGTGTGCAGCCAGTATTGACTTTTACAACAATCTGGACCAGGTAAGAAACGTTTTTCTTATTCTTCTCTGTTTTATTTAGCTAATCATCTCCTGGCTCCCTTTCTGTTTACTGTGTTAAACCATTTATTGAATTTTCTGTCTTGTGTGATTGCTTATGACTGACCCACAGCTGGTTGTTGATTCCCGAGCATGAGAAATGGTATTTGTAAGATCATGAAGTGTCTAGGCATGAGTGCCTTTGTCTCATCTGACAGGTCTGAAAGCTCTGTGGAAGCTGGAAAAACCTATTTAGCTCTAGACAACATCTGACCCTTCAGGTGCAGCCTCACAACACTCTTAATGTAGCACAGTAGAAAAAATAACCAATAGCCCTCCTCTTGTGAAAAATACCCCAGAACTGCGGTGGATGATGGTTGCTTTGAGGTTTGTTTGTTTTTTTTGTTTTTTTTTTCCCAGCCTGCTTCTTAATTTTTACAAACCATAGTGAGTCCTAAATTCAAGCATTTCAGGTTAGGCCTAATTTGTAACTGGCAAGTGTAGGAAGTATTTTCTGAGTTCAGAAGACTCTATGTGTTTCTTGGAATGTGTTTAAACTGTCTATTGGTTTTGACTTCCACTGTTCTCTTTCCACTCAAAGCAGAGCACAAACCAATGTTTCAAGGACCCAAATGTTTTCAGCACTGCCCTCATCGGGATACTTTGCATGATCTGGGATTTCTTATATGGTCACAGACAAACCCAAATTCAAGAGGTTTTTCCATTCCAGCACTTAGTGAAAGTAGAGGTAGATAAAAGAACCACATTCTTCATGCACTTCCTTGTCAGAAATCAGTGAAGAAAATTACATGGTTGGTAATTTTCAGTTGGATGTTTGAAATTTGGAGCTGTGTCTTCCAAATACAAGGCCTAAGCAATTGTGTGCTGCTGGCCTGACTCAGAAACATAAAATCATGGAATCATGGAATGGTTTGGGGTTTTTTTTGTAAACATCATCTCGTTCCGACCCCTGCCATGGACAGGGACACCTTTGACTATCCCAGCTTGCTCAGAGCCCCATCCAACCTGTCCTTGGACAATTCCAGGGATCCAGGGGCAGCCACAGCTGCTCTGGGCACCCTGTCCCAGGACCTCAGCGCCCTCACAGGGAAGAATTTCTTCATCATATCCCATCTAAACCTGCTCTCTGTCAGTGTGAAGCCATTCTCCCTTGTCCTCTCACTCCAAGCCCTTGTAAATCATCTCTCCTAGACTCCTAAGTTAGTTATGGTTGTTAGGTGCATTAATAAGGCAGCATGAACATCACAGTCCTGCTGTGCAGGAGTCCAGACATCCCTGCTCACTCATAGTCTGTCTGTGTGTATAATATAGAATGGTTTGTTTTGATTCTGGTTAATTGAGTGAGCTGCAAGCAGTCTGGAAAGTAGTTTTTTTTCTCAAAGCAACTGGGTTTTTTTCTCTTCATTAATACTTTTGGGGGCCTCACCCTTGTACTCAAAAGGAAAGCTAATGAACTCACATCTGACTAAACCTGCAGACTTTAATATATTTATAAACTAGCCACAGTATTAATATAGTATTTTCTGTCCACACGTGACATGGACACCTTTATGTGTGAAAGCACTGTCCATCCTGTAAAGCCTCACAAATCCCATTGGTAACCATCAGCTATGTCACAAACACAGAAATGTCTAGTCAGATTTTATTCTAAGACTATGTGGAATGAAACATAAGTATCAATTTCAAATATCATTTCAAATGGCCGTTAATAATATTTAAGGGAAGGAAATTGTGGATTTCTAGGCTGTAATATGGGCCTAATTTATACCCTCTGTGGGCTGACATTTACAGGTACTAATAAAGGAAATTATGTTAAGCTGTTATACCATTGTTTAATATTTCTATAGGATGCTAAAACTCTTCCTGGGAAAGTTAGTTATCTTAGTGAGGGCTTCTTTGGCTGTGAAAAGGTCACCTTGGTGCAAAAGTCAGCTGAGACACAAGAACTTGATCCTGAATACCATAATTAAATAACAGCTAGATCTTCAGACATATTCTTGTTGTTGCCTTCTAGCAGCAAACTATTTAGGTCAAGCAAGCAATTTTCTTAGTGAAAAAGATCCTTTTGTGCTTCCTAATGTTTAATCTTTAGAGGGAGCGATATTTTTTTTTAGAGCATTTCACTCTCTCCCACCCCAAAAATAGCTGGGTTTCCTGTTTCTGTGCTATTGCATAAATGTTTTCCTTTGCAGTATGATTAAGTTCTCATGTTTGACCAGGGTTTCACAGCTAGAACACAGTTCCCAGCAGGCAGCAGCTGAGATGGGGGGAAGGATGCAGCTGCAGGATGTGTTGTGCCAGACGTCACAGAAAAATGGCTGCAGCACAGGATGAAAGTGTGTGGCCTTATTGTGCCTGACACAATATGTACAACTCATACAGAAAGAAGAGGAAACCTCATGTCTTTGTTTTGAGTCCTCCACACAGTCCACAAAATGCTGAGTTAGGAGCCCTGGTACACAGTTCTACGCTGCCCACACAGTGCAGGACTCTCCCACTGCACTGTCAAAACATCCCCATAGATAAGCAGGGCTAGAGGATGCAAGATCAGTAGAGTCCTGAGCTGTAGGCTACCAGAACTCCCTGTTCCATGAGCTGGGGGCACAAGTCAGCCTGTAATCTCCAAGAGGATATTTTCTGGGGGGTTACAAGCCCAGTCAGCCTAGTAGAGGAGAGCTGTAGAGGATGGCTGGAAGATGGGAGGGTGCATTGTGGATGTAAGACTGCAGTGTTGTGAGAGTCCTGACCTCTTCCTGAGCCATCTGCTGTTTGCCTCAGTCAGAGATGGGATCCTGGATCTTAGGCAGCATTACAGCTTAGTAACTGGACGTGGCACTCAGGGCCATGCTTTAATTGACAAGGTGGTTCTGCTGCATTGGTCTGTGTCTCACAAAACGGGATGGGACCCTGACTGGTTGCAGACTTAGGATTTATTATCTGTCTGTATCATACAGGCAAAAAGCAAGAGACACAAAGAAACAAACATCCATGCAAATCCAGATCAAAGACAAGATGGCAGCTTATGCAAAGGCTTTTTCTACATATTCTTTGAACCAATACCATAAAAGAAAAGGTGCAAAGGCATTATACTCTAACCAATAAGAAAAGGACCCACGTGAGTTTAACATTAACAAAAGGACTTCTATGAATCTCAAACAATACACAATAATTCATTATATAAGATTGAAACTTCTTCTACCTTTGCAAAGCATATATCTAGGACTTTTCACATCCCGAACTATCAATAAGTTCTTGTTCTTTCTTGTTCCTTATGATAAATATGAATGTATTCACTTGGTTCTTACTTTCCTAGCTTCCCATGAGAAGGTTTTGAAATTTCCCAGCCTTTCTCAGCTTTATGTCTATTTTCTGGGGCCTTTTTGCACTTTCTAAATTCTTTTACCTTTTTATATTCCTACAGTGGTAATTAGCCAAAGGTTGGACTCAGTGATCTTGGAGGTCTTTTCCAACCTTAATGATTTTTTGGTTAAGGTTTGAGCTTATACAATTCTTATATTCTTACAGTTTTAACTCAGTTCATCCGGGCTGGGTGGAATTTATCTGCCTCTGCTCCAGTGAGAATTTGGGTGTTAAACTCTTAGCAGGTGTTCAGGAGCACAGTGGCCACCAGAAATAGCACTGCCATGTTACTATTTAGTGCATATTTTAGTATCTAGATCCACATTTAATTTGCTCTCGTCCTGGAGAAAGGAAGAGAGGGAAAACCAAAGGAACAAAATCGGGTGACATGTACAGTAACTGGCAGTATCTTTATTTTTATTTACTTTAAATTATTTGAAGAACCCTGGGTAGATGGGCCAGGGACTGCTCACTAAACCTATCTTTTAGGTTACTGTGTTGAACTCTTCCAAACTCAACACTTCCTAATTTCAATATCAAGCAGGGCTTTTTATGAGTTGCATTCCAATAGAAGTTTAAGAACTTTTGTATGTCTAAATAGTCCAGCTAACAGGACATTTTCCTATTTTCTCCAAGTCCAGTGTAGCTTTTACACTGGTGTGTGAAATTATGTTTGCTGCTAAGATAAACTGAAGCAAAATTGCTAAAAGTTAGGAATTTCTGTGAAAAAAATCTGAGTCTGTGGAGGCTTTCTCTCTTCAGGAGGAATTGGCTTCCCAGTTGAAGATTAAGAATGTTAATCTGTTATTGTTTTCCCCATTGTTTGAGGGGACTGATTCAGTTTTTTTTTTTTTTGTTTTGCATGGGGATTTTTTTGTATCCTTTCATGCCTCTTGAGTTTTAAATAGACCAGCACCTTTCATAAATGGACTGAGACATGATCCAAACAAGTTCCTAGGTAAATAGACAGCTCATTTTGGAAAATGATTTAACCTGGAATTTCATCTGTGAGGTCATAATCTGAAATTATTTTTGGGACCACTGGCCTGACATCATGGAGAAGTTGTGTGGTTCAGTCTCTGATGCTTCTTACTAGAAAAACACTTTGAGTTTAATGAGAAAAGGAGAAGGAGAAAAAGGTTAGTTGTAGTCTTCATTGCCTTTTTCCTTAGGTTGCCCTGCTGATGTGTAAACACTTCTGTTTAGAACTTGGAACATTTTCATTCAGCTCATGCACGTGCAGCTGAATCCCACTTGCAAGGTGATAGAAAATCCTGTCCCAAGAATTCTAAAAGGAAAAGTACTAAAAATCCCAATGAAAATGAATAGTCAAGAGCTTTTTGCTGACAATATCTCATTCCACTTGGTGCTGCACCATCCAGTTTGTCACCGAGCTCACTGTTACACACAGCTAATCCACTTTGGCAGCAGAGCAGCTGATGGAAATCTGATTTAAGCCAGGAAGTGTAAATTTCATTCTCTTTTGACCTGGCAGAGCTATACCAGAAAGTTCTCTTTACACAAGGCAGCAGTCAATTGGAGGTAAATTTGATGTAAACTGGATTTTAAGGGGGTGCTTCTTACCTAATTCAGACAGAGGCAGCCAGTGAGATTATGCTGAAAGCAAAAATGTTTCCATTCTACCTTTTAGTCAGTAAGGAATTTAAATTTCAAACCAGTCTCTGACTGTTCCTTGGCCCTGCAGAATCACTTTGAACTTGAGTGTACCACTGTTTTAAAAGAAGAAAGATTATTTCATTCTATGTTTAAAATTCTCATGCATCAAAACCTGTACCTTTTATTTGAATTACAAAATATTTACAGTGATATTATCCATTCCTGAGGTAAGGTTTAAATGGTGAGGGTAGTCTGTATTATTTCTGCAAAAGTGTCATAATATTTTATTTAGGAAAATTACATATATTAATTCCAGTTTGAATTTGTATTGGTTTAACTTCTGTTGGTTTTCACCATACTTTTTTTTTTCTTTTCATTAGGAGAGTACAACCTAATATCAGTATCTAGAGATTCTTTGCAGACTGTGAGAAATAATTTGTCTTTTCTCAGACAAGAATTTAGATAGCTAACATAGTCCTTCCTCCTTTTTCGTTCTCAAATGATACTTTTGTTTTCGAATACTTTGCAATTTATCTTTACAATTTTGAAGTAGGAATGGCTGATTTGAATTTACTACTTCAGTAATTTTGCCAGAAGAAACATAACTGCTTAATATTCTCTTCTTTTTCATTCAAAGTTCAGAATGTCATGCTAGGAGTCTCAGTGATTACCTGCTGTGCTCCCTAACGTTGAATTTTAAGAGATCAATGAGATGTTATGCTCATTACATGGATCCACAGAAAAGACAAACAACCCAAAATTTTCCCTCAAAATTGCACTGCAGCAAATGCAAATTTTACTCCAAAGCATTACACCTGTGGAACATCTTCCTCTTTTGCTTTGAAATCTTATGGCCATATAAAGGAGTAATTTCCCCTTCTAATTCTTGCCGTCTTGTAAATTCTAATACCCTGCTTAGTTTCTACAAGTTAGGGAAGGAGAGGAGCCTCCAATACATTTACAGGGAAGTGGATACTGAAGTTGTTGGTTTTTAAATACCACTGAAATGGTTGGACTAAAGGATCTTAAGAGCCTGTTCTACCCTAAAGGGTTCTGTAAACAGTTCATCTGACTTTTTCTCTTGATGCAGCTGTGATCTGTGGCTTAGCTAGTGTTCCAATTTGCTGATAACAGCAAACAAACAAAAGCAGGCATGATGCACTTGACGGGAATTTGGCTTTCCTCTGGCTGAACACAAAGGTTATGGAACAGAGTTCACAGGTGCCTGGGCTGGGCTGGACAGAGAGCAGGGCTCAGTGTTGAGCAGGAACATTGGTTTGGGGGTGAGGAGCTGCCCTGGTGTCCTGCTGGTTTCAGCATGTTGTCCCATGCCCCACAGTGCCTCTAGCTCTGGAGATTGTCCGAGCAGGCTCAGCTGTCTTTTCACAGGACTAGGTGGGTTAAATTTGTCACCTGCACTGTCTCATCAATTAATTTTCATTTATCCTGCCCTTCAACTTGGCTAAGGCTCTTTTCTGAAGTCGCTTGTCTAGCCTGCTCAGTAATGCACAGTTCTTACTCCACACTGAGGTCAAAAGTCAAGGTCTTGCTTTACTGATTGGTGCTGGAAGCTGCTGGAGAGTGAGAGCAAATGAAATGTGAGAACCCTGTGACCTCTGTTTGTACTTTCTAATAGATGTGGAATTGCGTACCTTTGCAAAAACATGCCAAAAGTCCCACAAGCATATGCAAAATAAAATGCTTCCTGTTTATAAAAGATGGAAAAATGAATAGCAATGAAGAAATAAGCACCGGTATATGTTAAATATGTAAAGTCTTTTCATGAAACCAAAAAAATAAAAGTTAACTAGAAATAAGTCATAGTGCTTAACAATCTCTTCATGAACCTTTGTCCCAGCAGTGTTATAGGGAGTCTTTATCAACAGTTGGTGAGCATGTCCCAAATTTAATTTTTAATCACATTTTGTAATTTAAACCCATTCTTGCTTAGAAAGGGAAAAGAGAACAAAAGGCCTTTGAAGTTTGACCAGCTATTTGTTTGCTAGCAATTTCAAAAGTATTTTTAATACCAGATGTGTTTGAAAAGACTTGCATGGTTCTGACTGTGTAGTTGTGCCCATCCCATTCATGTGTTTGTCTAGCATGCTAAAGAACTGTCCCATTTTGTACCTTTTTTGCACAGAATGTTTAGACAATCAAATATGCAGTTAAGAGCTGCTTGTGAATCAGCTTAGTGTAAGCCAAGGATGATGCTGAGATGTGTGGCACTATAAGGAGCCAAATTAATCCCCCTTTATTTTTCTCCTCTTTGTACTCTTTCTACCACTTGATTTCTGTGGCAAATGAGATGAATGCTCTAGAGAAAATATCATCCATTGTATTTCATGCTGTAAAATTCTCATGAGGAATGTGGAAAAGACAATATAGGAGGATACAACTGAGAAATGGTATCATAATATTTAGCACATTATGTGGTAAATTGTATTTGGCAAATGTAGAAAAGCTCTTGATATGAAGGGTCATCAATACCAGAATAAAGCATCTAGTTTGTTTGGAAGTTTTCAGCTGAGATTTTTTGAGAGTCCTTTTTTTTGGTCACACTAGAGTGGTTAGATTGGCACTTTCAACTAACACAGTGGAAGCCACTTTCCCACAAGTAGTGTAGCACTGCTGCAGAATTAAAGCCACTAAAGCAATTAATTTTCTCAGCAAAGCAGTTATAAGTTTTCTATATCTACATCTGTGTCTATACCTATCTAAAGGAAAATAAGAACTTGTTTGCTTCACTGTAGTTCCCTGAAATGGTTCACATTGCATCAACTTTCTCACACTGTGTTCTGTACCAGCATTAAGCTTTGCAGGACAGGCCACAGTCTAAATAGTTTTACTTCTGTCCAAGTTCTGAAGTGCTAAAAGCAGCTGGCCATGGCAGGGGTCACACAGTCCTAACTATAGAAAGTGTTGTCTGCCCTGCCTGTGATAAGGGTTAAATCTATTATGGTCAGTGAAGTTACACAGTCAAATGCAATCAAAATCAGGCTGTGCAGCCAGCATTAGGCAGCGACCACGACAGAGCTCACTGAGAGTCATTGTCACCCTCTGGGAAACACACAGGCCATTGGGTGCCCATGCTGTTGACCCTTAGGGGCTCAAGATTTCTGTTTCCAGAAGTGAAACATCAGACTAAGAGGATTGTGATTTAATTGAAAGCATTGACACCTTTTTTAGACTGCGTTGTAGCGATTTTGCAGTGGACACTGTTAGTGAACATTTGAACCTTTAAGCGTGGACTCAAGAGAATTGTGCATTTTCTTTGCATCAGGATAACATAAGCTCAGTTAAAAAAGGTAGCTGCAAGATTTGAAGGTGATTTAGAAATACTTGGGTGTTGGGAATGTCTTATCTAGCAGTTTAACTTGCATCAGCCTCTAAAAATTAAGGGAGTTCAAACTGAAATATAAGAAACAGCAAATAATGTGGCAGATTTGGAGGAAGAACATCTCTGAGGGTCAGAAAATATTTTATTGTCTATTTTCTTTTTTCCCTTAGGATTTGTGACTCTTTATATCCTGTCTCTCCACTTCTCTCTTGCCTACCTGTGATTCCCACCATACTACCAAGTCCCCAGGTTCTGTCCTCATCCCCATTCCTTTTTTCTTCTCTCTCCTTCAGCTACCAGCAACCTCCCTGCTCTCGCAAGTTTTCCAACAAGCCCATGGAAGCTGCAACATGATACATTGCCAGCCAGCAGGCCAAATTCCATACATCCTTACCTTTCATGGGATCATTAATCTAGCTTTCCTCCCATGGCAGAGCTGCCATTTTTTCAGGAACAAGCAGGATCTGAGAATTCTTGTGCTCTTTCAGACTCCTTGAAGTTGATAAAATACAAACACCAGGACAACAAAACAGCACTACAATCATGTAGTTCTCTTTCCCTGGGGAAATGGAGCCTAGCAGGAGAAACCTTCCCTGAAGGGAGACAGTTTGATGGTCATGTCACACAGGTGTCTTTTTTGTTTGTTTCATTGTTTAACAGTTTGACATTGACAAGGAGGCTGGAGAGAGGCAGATTTACCATCGGTACTGTATGGAACGGGCATCTGTGCATTGTGCTCATGTGTTCACCACAGTCTCCCAGATCACAGCTACAGAAGCAGAACATATGCTTAAAAAATGCCCTGGTAAGACCTGAATTTTTTTTTTTTTTTCTGTATTTCCTTTGAATGCCCACATTTCCTTAGTCTGAATGAATACAATAGAGACAGGTATGCAAACATGAAGAGAAAGAAAACATACAGAGGTGTGTTTGGCTCTGCTACAGGGATTAACCAATTTTCCATGGATGTCAGGCTTCTTTTGCCAGGACGCCTCAATTTCAGGAATTTTATCTGTGGCAGGGTTTCCATGCTTTTAGAACTGAACCATTATAAGCTTCATATAGATAGAATATTTTCTATTAGACCCACAAGTAGAGTTTGAAAAATAGTTGTGTGCCCAGTGATTTGTCTGGTTTCCCCCTTGATATTGGTCTCATAAAATATGAAGCTTAGAAACCTTGTCCTGTTCCATACATGGATTTTTAAGTAAGGTCATGATCCCAGTTTGATGTGTCATCAAAGTTCTCTTTAAATAATCTCAGTGGTTTATAGGGATAAACCCCAGTACTCCATCTGCAGGTATGCAGCATGAGGGAAAAACTGCACGACAGTTTTGGAGACTATTTAGCAGGTGTGTTGGTATCTTGGTTATTTTACATAAAACATGCTCAAATTATTGGTTTTGTATGGGCTTGGTGTTTTGTTTTGGTTGGGGTTTTTTGTTTCTTTCTTAGTTAATTTGGGGGATTTTTTGCTTTCTCTTTATAGAGTTATTGGTTGATTTGCAGTGCTGGTTATAGTTTGGGATTTTTATCCTGGTTAACTTCAAATGCTTCAAGCCACATTGTGGTTCCTGAACCTGAACTAAAGAACTGTTTGTGGAATCCTTTGCCTCATTCCTGACTAGCTGTCAATAGGATGGTGGACTTAGATTATCTTTTTGATTTTATTTTAAGCACAAAAGGCGTGTCTTAAAAGTCACTGAAGTTCAGTCATTTAAACTGGAATATCTCTGAAAGATCTTGATTTTTACAAAGTGCAGAGCACTCTGAAAATCAGACTTTTGAAGCTTTTGTTATATAGGCATGAGGCTTCTCCCCACCACAGCTACCTTTGAAAATCATAGTCTGTGTTTTGGGATTTTAGGAGACTGAAATGAGTCTGAATCCAGTTTAATTTGGGGAAGAAAATCTCCAGACTGCTCACAGATAAAACATCAGTTGAAGCTGAAGAGAATTCCATGCACAAAGATTCACTGGCCTGAGCTTTTTGTGATTATTCTTGCAACTTTGAAGAAACCAAGTAAATATATTTCATGTTTGGGTTAAAAAACTACTGACACATGCCATGCTTCATGTTGACATAGCTAGAAAGAAATTCAGTAGAAATTGTCACCCCAAATCCTAAGAGATGACTCTAAGTGGAAAGCATGTTGTGATGGGAATAACTACTTTAATAGATTCTCTGAATCCAAGACCACAAATCAACTGTCCAGGAACCTATTCTCACACTATTTATTCTCTCTGAAGTTGTGAAATCTGCATAGTCATTGATTTTTTGGAAAGTCCAGCAGTCCTTCAGTAGGTCATTGAGCTTGTATTCTGCAAAGGAACATGAATACTGAAAGCATGTGTACATTTCTCCATCCACTTTAAAAATAAAGGTTTAAAAGGAGGATGCTGAATTGGCACAATTGAATTTTATTTGCATTTATTGAGACATAGATTTTACAACCAAATTGCTAGCTAAAAATAACTTAGAAATGTGCTAAATTGCACTGTCTCTGCTACTTCCCTTTAATATCAAACTTAGATTATAATTTAAATTATAAATCTCATCACCTGGAAAAGTATTTTTTAAATTTTATGGATCTGATTGCAAAGAGAACTTTTGCAGCAGGACAAAGGCAAATTTGCCAGTCTAAACCTGGCAGAATGACTGCTTGCATTATGCTGATCCCATTTGCTACAGTTGTTATGTGATCAACAATTTATCAAACCATATTTGTCAAAAGCTTGAGTATCTTTGACATACCCGGCAGGATTCTGTCAGTGATCATAAGTTATGGTCTTGTGATTTGGAAACTGGTGATATGGGATTTCTAGTGTTTTCACTCAGATATGGAACATATTTCTCAAAAAACTCTTGACTTTTCATTTTCATTGGGATTTTTAGTACTTTTCCTTTTAGAATTAGAAGTAGAGAAGGCTTTGAATCAAAATTCCAAGAAACTCACGTATGAATTGAGTTTTAAATCTAGGCTTCCTATCTCTATATATTTTATCAAAATCATAGATCGGAACTCTGAAAAAGTACAAGTCAACTCTAAATGTTAGTGATATATCAAGAGAAAACTTCATTCTGTGCTAATATTACTTAAATCAGTGCCAGTTTCCTTCCTATAAATACAGAAGTTAAAACATTCTGATTTGACCTACTTGGGACAAATTTTCAAACAAAATAGGGACCAAGCTCTCTTTTGTCACTTCATCCCTCACACATGTTCAAAATATTCCTGTATGCTGAGCAGAAATAGTGAAGTGGGTTCTTTGGGCCACCATGTCGTGTATCTCAAAGCTTTAAACAAGAGATGGATTGAGCCCCAGGCCTCATGAAAAGGATGAATGAAGCTGTAGTTAAACCAAAGCACATGAGAGTAGGTTATACACAGGCTGCTGCTGGTGGGTGAGACTCTCCAAAACCCCCTGATAAATGAATGTGAGAGTGGAAGGAAACCAGCCAGAAATACCTGGGGAAGGGATTCTTCTTGTATTGGGAAGACTCTGAATGGTTGGAGTCTCAAAGCATGAACTGCATGAGCTAGTTTTTCCACACAGAACAAGAAACAGGACAGAGAAGGGAGATGAGTTGTCAGTAAAGACAGTGGAGGATGGTTCTGCTCTGTTACCTCCCCCAGTGGTCTTTGTTCAGAGAATTCTTAAGTGCTGGGCAGGAGAAGGTAAAAGCACAAGTTTTCTCCTCATGTCCACCAACACTGTTTGGTCATTGAAAACCAAATCTTAAGTACCTAACAAGTAAAGATTTCCAAAAGTGGTATTCCAGAAACAGATCCATTAAGACTTTACTATTTCATGGTTACTACTAAAGGTTATATTTTTATTTGTTGTAGTTTAACCTAGAGTGTTTCAGGACATTTTACTGGTGAAAGTTTAACCAGATATCACTTACATGGCAGGGGAGCACATATATTGCTGAAGCAGGCTGTAATTTTCAAGGAAATAATTTTAAATGGCTGTGCCAGTTGCATAATGTCAGGCAAGTATCATAAATTAGTATAGATCTGTTTCAGTCAGTTGTGTTGCCATGAAATACATCTGCTGAGGAACTGGCCTTCCCTTTCATGTCCATTCATAACCCAGCTCAAAGGACAGAAAATGGCATTCTTTCCATTTACTTGGACTGGATTTGGAGCAAGCCTTTGTATAGCTACTCTGATCTACCAGGTAGGCTAAGAGTGACTGAATTTCAGTGCCTGTCCTCTGTGTATATTCTAAATCTCTGCCTTTAAAATGCTGGAAGTGAACAAATTTCAATTGTAAGATCCTTTAGAATTTTGGAGGAGGGCTGGAAATGAACAAATTTCAATTGTAAGATCCTTTAGAGGAGAGCAGCAGTAAAAATGTAAAGTGTACTAGTCTGTGGATGTTTTTAGGGGAAATACAACCAATTACTGGAAAGAGGCTGTTTTATAAAGCTTTCTTATATGCTCCCTTTTTTGATAAATCCTCAGAAGTTTTGATAGAATGGGTATCTCTTGTGCCATGCACTAGGCAAGGACATAGCACAGTTTCTGCTTCCAAGGGCTCTCAATCGAGCAGGCAGCAGTGATATCAAGGATAAAGAGGTAAAGGGCAAGTTGCACAACAAATATTTGGCTCAAAGGAGACATTACTGGGGTCTTGACAGGACAAAAGGGCAGGGTCTACCCAGTGCTGAGGACGGGTGAAAGCTGCTTTGATGTTGCAGACAGTGGAGAAGCCACGTGCAAGAGCTTTGTGGAGGCAGTGCTGTTCCCTCCCCCTGAGTAACATAAAGACATTACCTGTTAACATAAACCTTGAGAGACACATCGGTTCTTTCCTTAAAGATTTCTCTGACTCTGAAGATGTCTACCTCTGCCTTTTCTCTGCTTTTCCAGATGTTGTCACCCCAAATGGCTTGAACATTAAGAAATTTTCAGCAATGCATGAGTTTCAGAATTTGCATTCCATGTACAAGGCTAGGATCCAAGAGTTCATTCGAGGTCATTTCTATGGGTATGCTTTTACTTTTCAAAAATTAGCAACGCTTGTCCAACACTATTTAAAGCAAGAACCAAAGCAGGAGGACTAACAAGTACTTCATAGAGGAGTGGAAATGTTGAAACCAGCTTATTCAAATATCTGTCTGGGATTTCTCAGTCAGAAGCTAAGGGAATCTTAGACACCAGATCTGACTCTGCTTAACAGATTGTGATATCAGACATCAGATCTTGATCTGTGTGTTATTTACCCAAGATGCAGTTTGTCAGATGAAGATAGTCAATTTAAAGCCCAGCAGAAAAGCCTCACTTTCATTTTTTTCTGGGGTTAGTAAATTCCTCCAGAATAGAGAGCTGTTGTGTGTTTTGTTTGATTGTATCTTGAGAAATGCTTTGTTCTTGTCTGTTTTCTTGCTTTCAGCCACCTTGACTTCGATCTTGACAAGACTTTGTTTTTCTTCATTGCTGGGAGATATGAGTTTTCCAACAAAGGAGCTGATATGTTTCTAGAAGCCTTATCAAGATTAAACTTTTTGCTGAGGGTAAGAAAGCTTACACAGCTTTTGAAAGCATAGAGCTTATGCTCAAACTGACCATACTGTGGAAGTCACCTACAAGAATTCCCTTTCAATACTCTGGTTTATAGTAAAGTAATTACAGGATATTCACAGTTTTCATATGGCTCTCCTCCTGAGCCATCAGAATATATGATGATTTCACACAGTTTAATTGATAGATTGGTTGTATAATTGAAAATAATTTATTACATAGTTCAAGAAGTTAATTCATGGTTGCCTCCCTGGTTTTTAGAGAGAAGTAATGAGTATATATAATAGTATTCTAAGTTTACCCTGATGGCTTACATATTATAATGGAAATAAAAGTAAGCCCTTAAAGCTGCATTTTAAAAATATCCTTTTCAGCAAATAGCTTAATTCGGTAGGACCTGTTTATGATCTTCTAAATCTCTGCTGCCCCATTGGATGGGAATGTTGCATTAAAATTCACAGAGTGCCAGTGGTATGGTGCAAAGCAATGGGAAGCCACTCAGTTCTCTGTGGTTCTGTTTCCTAAATGCCTTTATGAAGTACTTCAATGAAGACAAGAACAAGGCCTTGTTAAAAATCACAGAGCAGAGCCCTTACCACCTACAGTGAGGGCATTGAAAATGTCTCCAGCTGTGTCCCAAAGACTAATCTATTGAAAATAAAACCCAGAAAAAATGTTAATGATGCTAATAGGTTTTCAATCATCTGGCAAGGATCGATTAGCTGTTGTCCTAGACTCTGTCATTTGTACTCTTATCAGTGGAATGATATGGAAAATCTAGATAAAAATTATGATACCACTCTGTCAGCAGAGATGAAAGAATCAGTAATGTTCAAAGCCCTAAGTACAATTGTTCTACCACCACCTTCTATTAATATGCCATTTTGAGCATTTTCTGGATTTTCTGGAAATTCTTAATCCCTTCATTCACACAGGTCACCTTGCAGACCTGAAGTATTTCTTCCACAGCACAGTCAGTTGTTTGGCAGTGCTGTGCAGCAGCAGCTGCCTGTTAATGGCATTTACATAGCTTTTATCTGTGAATGCTGCTAATGTGGAAGGTTTTGTGTGATAAGAGGGAAATAATTGCCTGAGCAATTATTGCGGCAATCTCTAATTGCAGCTAATGATTAATATCACAGAATCATAAAATCTGTAGAGTTGCAAAAGATTTCCAAGATCATTGAGTCCAGCCTTTGGCCCATCACCAGTTTTTCAATAAGACCATGGTGCTAAGAGCCATGTCCAGTTGTTTATTGAACACTACCAGGGAGGGTGACTCCCCCACCTCATTGAGCAGCCCCTTCCACTGCCTGATCCCATTTTCTGTAAAGAAATTCTTCCTGATGACATCCATGACAAACAAGGCTGATGGAAATTAAAGGAAACTGAGGCTCTATAGGACACTGTACTGTTGCTTCTCCCATAAACTGAGCCTGGATTTATTGCATTATTCTTCCAGTGTAGATGCCAGCATCCGATTAGCTGTTCTAACAACACTTGCTCTGTAATTAATTCCAGAGGTAATTCCATTGGGAGTAGCAGTCTATCTTACTAATTACAAATCTGTAAATGGACTGTACTAATTACAAATCTGGGACTTCCTAAATAAGTCCTGGTAGTGGGCCTGAACCTAAAAAGTACATACCATTGCATGGAATTGTTTTATTTTATAGAGACGTTTTCCTCTGCTGCTTGAAAATCTTACTAAAATTTTGGAAATAAAATATGGATGTTGGGAGAAATTGTTAATGCTCACTGGGAGCGTGGCATTATGGACTTGGAACCCACTTTGAAGAGAGGGAGGGGAAGAACATTAATTAACATTAACATGATAGATGACTCCCATAGATTATTTTACCCTGTACATTTCCCTCTATGCCAGCCTGAGAAAAGGCACACTATTGTACAGTTTTGTATCTAAAATTTGAAATGGAGGCAGTTCAAAGTAATTCAATTTTTAAGCTCTGAACAGAGTTCACCCTTAGCTTTTCATTAAAGAGTTGCTGAGAGGAGTAAAACCTCATTCATGCAGCAATGAATGGACCTGATATTTTGAACATTGTTCATGCACAGGAGAAACTAGCAAGTGAAACCACCTAGAAATAAAGAGTCAGAATTTACAGCAAGTGCTTTCTGCTTCTGAAGTAGCTGGATGGAAGAGATGGGCAAGAAGTTATTGGTGTGTCCAGCAGGTTCTTTGCCAGAGTTTCAGGTAGAAAATAGTTGTTTTCTCTCTGCTGTAGGAAATCACTCTATCATACCTATGCATACCTCAGCTAGTAAACCAAACACTCACTCCTTTGAGCCAGCACAGTTTGTGTCTGGTGAGAAAGTGTTCAGGGCTTTTATTTTTCTGCAGTTTATGTGCTCAGCTAAAGCCATGTTCTCTAAACCGTGAGAGCTCAGGAAGCCCAAATTGAAACTGGGTGGCATCTCTGTCTTGATCTCTGATTTGACAAAACTTCATTTGTAACAAGAGCTACAAGAGCTGAGCATTCCTGGAAAAACAGAGTGCATTTGGCGTTTCCTCTAACTAATTCTTAAAGTTGGCTGTGACAGCCTGTATCAGATGTTTTTATTTTAAATTCCTCTCCATTTCTTGTCATGTAGGTTCACAAGACTGACATTACAGTTATCGTGTTCTTCATCATGCCAGCAAAGACCAACAATTTCAACGTGGAAACCTTGAAAGGACAAGCAGTCAGGAAGCAGCTCTGGTAATTGCCATTCCCACCCTGGTATAGTCTGATGTGGACTCATTCAAAAGTCTCAGCTGGAGAATAATGCTCCTTTTTTTTTGCTAAAACTGAGGATTGTGGGTAACTAGAATGTATTGCAGGAATGAAAGAGAAATATAAATAAGGTCAAATATTCCTTCTTTTAGTTTTTGTTTATTTGTTTTGTCCAAAATTATTTTTAGTTAACTTGTGTTGCCATTGTATCAGTGAGTAGTACTTGTTTTGTAGGAACAAAGTCAAATGCTCTAGAAAATTCAGTGTTCTGAATGTCTCCTGGCTGTTTCTGGTACTCCCTTTGGATGTGCCATAGAGCTCCCACAAAATAAGGACTGCTCATTTTTCACAGTGAGCTTCTCTGTGGGAAAAAGAAATCAAATACACATCTTCCTTTATTTAGAAATGTGGAAATTGCACTGTATGATCCAGCAGATCAGCAGTGGATAACAAATGTCTGTAATTTTCTATATGGGCTACAACAAGCAGTGGCCATAACCAAGCAGTGAAACTTACAGCTATAAAGGTGAAATTGTAACAGCCCTACTAATTTTGCAACTTTTCAAACAAAAAAAAGCAAAAGAGGAGCAGGATTAACCTTCACCTCACTTTAACTGCTGTGTGATTCTGTATAGGAAAAGACTGCTTTCAGCTGTTCTTCTCTGTGAAAAGCAGAAGACCCTCTGCATCTCTGTATGCAGCATTATCATGGTCATAATACGAAATCCAGGATAAACCCACCTGCTAGCAGTATTTCATAATAATATTCTTAGGGTGCCACAGAAATTAAGGACAAGAAGAGGTTGGCACTTATAAAGGAATACAGCACTTAGAAATTAATATGTGATGGCTGACTTGGGGTATAAAATCCTTCTTTTTCTCTGCTTCTGAAAAAGCAGTCTATCCCATCTGGGTTAAATTTTAGGTATTGTGCATGGCAATCTATGAAGGCACAACTCAGGTGGGAGCTATCCTGCTGGGGTTTGGATCAGTGTGGCTTAACATTTGTCTGCTTTACAACTCACCCAAAATTGACTTATCCTCTCTTGTGTCAATGTGAGCTGGGAAAGAGCAACTAAAAACAGGTATGTGGATTCCCAGCTTGATGAAGTTTAAGATTTCACTTAACAAGTTTCATCTTTGCCTAAAGGATAATTAGAAATTATAAAGGCAGGGAAGATTCTGTGAAATTGAACTTAACTCAGAGTAGATTTACTCAGATTTAGAGTGCACTTGCTGTTTTGACAACAGAAATTTCTGCCAAGGGCAGAATAATAGAAATTACTCTTTGCATGCAGAACAGTGGTTCACTGGAGTTTTTCCTTACCTAAAATATAGCATTTGTCTGATACAGGCCTCATTAATGCCTTAAAACTTGGCCAGAGCTTTCCAGGAAGTTTTTTGTTTTGCAAACTAAGATAAACTGCTTTTAGTCCTAACACTTGTTTCCAAAAGTCTGAGTTGGGAAATAGGGCAGAAAGTGAAGGGGGAAGCCTGCTTTGAAAATCTCTATTTGTTCAATTCTTGCATCTCTCTTCTAGGTCAAGAGTAGTTGGAGCTCTCTCTGTCCATTATTAATGATCATGTTACAGTACCTAAGGTCATAGGTAGCTCTTTTTTTCACAGCTGACATGTGGTCTGCTGATCATAGAAGAGGGTTAGAAGGAATCCCTCGTAAAGCCTGCCCCTGGCTTTCCCAGTGCACTCATCTGTAGGTGCAGGTCAAATCCTCAGCTCTGTTGGAATCCACCAGCATAACTGCTGGCTGGAGAAAAGAGCTTTGAGAACCAGACTTCTGTCTGCCTCTGCATCCTGGGTTCCATCAGTATATCAGTTTAATTTCCAGCAGTAGGAATTTCTTTTATACTGTCCTTGTCCTGGATTCTCCTGTTTTATACATTTATTTATTTATCATCCTAGGGACACTGCACAATCTGTGAAAGAAAAGTTTGGAAGGAAACTCTACAATGCCTTGCTGAAGTGAGTGAATAAGTTGCTTTGCTCAGCCTTGCACAGCTTCATGTTCAGGTGGCTTTACTTGTGTTGTTTTTGTGCTTTTCCTCTTTGTGTGGGGGATTCTGACATCCAGAGGAGGGCATGGTACAAAGATATGGGACCATAAACAAGATACTTGTTTAACAGGCAAATCACAGAGAAAAAAAAAAGGTTCCAATAGCCTGTGGTGGAAAGAGTCATAAGAGACACAGGGATGTCTAAGTAACACAAAGGCATATCCACTGTCAAAAACAAGCTACTTCAGCTTAAAAAAGCACCAGAGACAAAGTAAAATGTGTTAGTGATTCAGTCATATAATTTCAGAAGACAGTTGTACCCAAAGCACAGATGAGATGCCTCAAACTTCAGTAAAAATAAGCTGTGTCCAAAAAAAACCAGAAGAAACCAATTCTTTAGCTCTTTTTTGAAAGCTAATTAGCAGATCAGCAAGTATATGGGAGAACACAATATAAAGAATATAGAAGGGCCATGAAAACAAAGGAAAGGTTCACGTTGATACCAGCAAACTTCAGATCAGACCTTGTTAGGCATATCTTTATTTTCCTTACAAAAGAACAATGAATCATTTGGTAAAATTGGTTGTGTGTTTCCTTTGCAGAGGAGAAATCCCAGACTTGAACAAGATTCTTGACCGAGATGACATAAGCATTATGAAAAGAGCCATCTTTTCAACTCAGGTCAGAAAATATGTTATTTGTATAAACATCTAATCTAAATAATGAATGTGATGGTGTAACACGATTGTGTAGGGCATATAGCCATATGTGTGCATTGGGAAGAAATTTTCAGCAAACTTACTTCTCATCAGTGACACTTAAAATCAGCTCTGATTGTTTTTAATGAGAACATGACCCAAATTAACCTTCTGGGGAGTCTATGGATATTGCTTCAGTGACAAGCAGTTTTAATTCTTTTATTCTGAACTAAGTGTGAACTTTGAGTTGTTTCTGAGCCTGGATTTTTCTAGTTTTATTGACTATGTTAAAGGAGACACAATATTGACTAGGAGTCTTAAAAATTAAATGGTGGACCTGCCTTAATGGTAGAACAAATTAATTTATTTTGAGGTAAATTAATTAATCAATAACAAAATCTGCCAGTAGTCTTCCAGTAGCCTTAGGAAATGGCAACAAGAGTGTTTGCCAAGAGTTTGTCTGATTTATGGATTGCTTTTTCTGTGCTCAGAGACACTCTCTGCCTCCAGTGACCACCCACAACATGATTGATGACAGCAACGACCCAATCCTCAACACCATCCGGCGCATTGGGCTGTTCAACAACCGCACAGACCGCGTGAAGGTGCGTTCTGGCTGCTTGTTTTAGATCCAAAATGGGATTTCCCTGAACATTCTCAGTCTGCATCACCAGCATGGGAAGTGCACTGAAATTCTTCATAGGTGATGTTATACTGCTAGAGTACTTCTCTCTTCCTCCCTTTCCAGGAATAACAACTTGTCACTGCACAGAGATCCCCAGGTGCTGTTTAGCCAAGCTAATTTCGAGTTAGAAATATGAGGTTAGGGAGTTGTTTTCATTGCTGCTTCCTGCACTGAATGAGGAGCTGCCACTCCTGAAATCAAGAAGGTGCCATGGGTCATTTGTACCCAGGTAGAAAATTCTGACATAGATTCACTTGCTTAAAACTGGAGGTCCAAGCTTTGAGCACAGACATTCCTGGAGTATCTCTTAAGAGCAACACCCTCATACTCATCATTTTCTGTAAAACATTAACCAGGGCTTTGAGTAAAAAGAATTCCTGCTCATGCCATGCTCATATTTACGTCACCTGTTGAGACTAAATTTGTGCAAATAAATCCTTTTCATGTTTACTTTGTCAAACCACAGAAATTATAAGGTCCTGCTTTCCCAAGTCTGCCAAAGCTGATATTTTTCTGGCAATCTCTGATGTTCTAACTATGACTATCTCAACCTCTATCTAGTAAAAGTTGAACCAAACATTGCAAATTCTTCCTCTTCCAAACCTTTTCTTTAAAGCCATATCCAAGGTATCTCTAACAATGACATATCACTTATTCTCAGTTTCTTTTTAAACCCATGGCTATGCCTGAGTAAATATTTTCTTACACTTCCTAGTTGCTTCTTCCTGGCTTAACATATGAACATTAACTCCAATGAATTCTGGGATTGTAATATGGTAATAATACATGAGATGTAACAAAAGTAGGGGGGAAGGATGCAGTGTGTACAGATGTAGTAAAAAATCCCTCAGAATTAACTGCTTGAAGGCATTACAGAACAGATAGATAGGATATAATACAGCAGGCATCATCTTCGGCTTCTCAGCAAATGTCAAGTTTGTAAAAATCATTACCACTGAAAAATTACTTCCTGCTTGAACAGGCTTAATACTTAGTGAGCTGAATACCACTAAAAAAAAAAAAAAAAAACAAAACTCTGTTAACTTCAAATTGAAAGTAATTTTGAGAGAAGTACTACATATCCAGGTAGACACAGCTGGCATGTGAAAAATACCCTTAGCAATTCCAGTGAAATCACTGGGATCAACTAAGCTTGAAAAATGAGTTTACAGCCCATTTACTGGTTGAGTACATTCATTTGTTTACTCAAGTGGCATGACAATTTTATTAAGAAGGGATAAAAGCATGCTCTGGGCATGGAATAATGGCAGGGAGATAAACCAGAGCAGTTTCAACCATTCCCTTATTCTTCCTCCCAAATCTGACTGGGCACCACATACAAGGCTCTTCTCAACTGAGCAGCAGATGTGGGGCAGTAACCCCAAGTCCTGCAGAGTCATGCAGATAAATTAAGTTTGGTTCTTAGAGGTGTCTTTCAGCAACATTAATTCAGCACAGGTTTGTGGTGGCAGGGCTGTAATGGTCTGCTTTCAAAATTCCCTCAGTTCTTGGGAGATCTGTGGAGTACAGTTAACATTCCTTTAGTTCAGGGATTGCTGTGAAACTTAGAAGTGCTGTGTCTGTCTGAGGCCTCCTCCTAGTGAGACATCCCAATAAAGTCATAGAATGGTTTGTGCTGGAAGGGACTTCAGAGAAAATTTCATTCCATCCCCCTGCCATGGGCAGGGACACCTTCAACTCTCCCAGATTGCTCAGAGCCCCATCCAGCCTGGCCTTGGACACTGCCAGGGATCCAGGGGCAGCCACAGCTGCTCTGGGCAACCTCTGCCAAGGTCTCACCACCCTCACAGGGGAGAATTTCTTCCTTATATCAAATCTAAACCTGCTCTCTGTCAGTGCAAAGCCATTCCCCCTTGTCCTGTCACTCCAGGCCTTTGTAAATCCTCTGTACTTTTGTACAACAGACCAAATCTTGCTAAATGCCATAGCCTTAGGCCTAATTCTCAGTGCATGTGGGCCTCCTTGGTGAAGAAGGATAAAGCTAAATACCTGTCCAGTGAAAAAGGGGCTCATCATCAGTCCTATTTCAGGACAAGAATGCACACAGGCAGGAGGCATTGGTAGAAAACAGATGGATGGCCAGAGGAGGAGCTGTCCAGATCCTTAGAAAAGGACCAGGGTGAATAAGGTGCCCAAACTTATCCACAATTGAAATATATCAATGATGGTTTTCTTTCATGTCTAATATAAGTTTTGAATATCCAGGTCATCCTACATCCAGAGTTTCTTTCTTCAACAAGTCCCTTGCTGCCCTTGGACTATGAGGAGTTTGTTAGAGGCTGCCACCTTGGTGTATTCCCATCTTACTATGAACCCTGGGGCTACACTCCAGGTAGGAATTCTGTACCCTTAACTAGTGTGAAAAAATGAACACCCATTCTGTTGATGCAGCCAGTTCCTTCTGAAGTGCTGCAATAACTCTTTGGACTCTGTTTCCTCTGCCATACAAAGGTCTTACTGCTGGCAAAATTGTCCCTGCAGTGTACTCTTTCCCATACTAATGTGTAATCTTTTGATTTTCTATGGCTTTAGAACAAGAAATAATTTTTAAAACTTAATTCTTGGTTGAAGGATTTTTAAAAAAGGCGTGCAGGAATTTAAATATTAAAAAAAACAGGGCAAGAAATCTGATGCAGCCAGTTGACATAGTTCAGTGGATTTAATTCAAGATAATAAGTTTGAGAGAATTATGTAATACCATATCTAAGTTATTTAATAGAAATACATGGAATGGTAGTGAATCTCATTGAATTAACTGGAAATTCCTAAAAATACAGAGAGCATATAGATTCTGACTTAAAATATTTTCTTTGTCAATACCCACTTATATCTCCCAGAAATAAAGGCTGTTTTTATAAGGTATATTTATAACTCTTTCATAGACACCAGGCTTATTGTCATATGAGTGAAGGCCATGTACATGTCTTTTCATTTTTCTAAGACTGGAGTCTGCATGCTGGTTTAGGTTAGGCTTAGGCTCCTTGGCAAAAACTCTTTAAGGAGGGTAAGCATTATCCTTACTCATGGCTGTGACAGCAAAAACTAAAAAAAAAAACCCATACATTTTCTGATTTTATAAAAGTAGCTCCACATCTACTGTGAACTCAGTCCTGAATTAATGATGAGGTTTGTTGTTTTGGGGTGGGGTTTTTATTTTGTTGAGGTTTTTTTTTTCCTGCTATAGAGACCTCTTGGCAAACCATCAAAATCCAAAGTTTGATATGCTCCTGCCCTTAAGAGATTCAGTTTTGTAAAGAGTTGTGAACAACTAATGAACATAGGTGTACATGGGGCTCCAAATCTAAAATCCAAATAGTCCTGACCATATGTTGGGGTTCTCTGTTTCAAAACTGCACTCCCAAAAAGTTTTCAGTTTAGCTGCTCTGAAACTCAAATGTATGTTTGCAAACACGGAGTGAATTTTGTTTTTAAAATTTCTTTTTATATTTTTTCCCATAATCCACAACAAAATATTATTATAGCTTTCACTTGACATTTTCAGAGCAGCTTTAGTGTTATGGGACTTTCTGTCTGCCTGTTTTGGCTTAGTTTTTTTTTTTTTTTTTCCCCTCTTGGGGTGAAACCATTGTAGGTGTATTGTCCTGAAACCCTTTTTGCCTGTTTCTTTCTGCAGCTGAGTGTACTGTGATGGGCATTCCCAGTGTAACCACAAACCTATCTGGATTCGGCTGTTTCATGCAGGAGCATGTTGCTGACCCAGAAGCTTATGGTAAAAACTTTAACAGCATATCAAAATATCACCTCTGAGTTAGGAAAGCAAAAAGCACAGCAACCATGCTGTTACTCCTCAAATTTATGTTTCTCTAGTACAAGGGAAACCATTGGGAGAATATTTTCAGAGCTCTGAATATCTTGTTAAGTTGGACAAGTGATTTCAGCTTTCATATTTATCCAAACCCTTTCCAGGATAGTTTTTTTGTCTCCCTTTAACCTTTTGTTTGCTGTATCCTTCCAAATTCATCACTATTTATATCAGTCTACGGTCTCCCAGCACTTCCCTTTAGTGCTTCTGGTTGCATTATAACACTCTGAGCCTTCCAACGAAGCAGGGAAATTCTGCTTCTCTTAATAGTCTGGGACTTGGAGACCAGTGGCATGACCCTCCCCAGACAAGCATTAAATTACCATGTACACTGGTGAAAAAAACAAAACAAAAAAAAAACCCCAAAAAATAAAACAAAAAAAATATTGAAATGGAAATGCAAGGAATCTACTTAAAATAATGATCTGCTCAGGAAGGTTTACAAATGGTTCATAACTGGAATGCCAATGCCTGGTATGCCAGGACATTCATGCCTCTTGAGTCATCCTCTGCCTCAGTAGCTCCTCCTTTTAGGGTTGATTTTCCCTGTTTTCCAACTGGTGCAATTGTCACTAAAGCTGTGGCCTCCCCAATGTACAGAGCAAGGCACAGTCCTTGTCCTCTCCTTCTTGCTTAGCAGGGGCTAACTGAATATCCCACCTCTGGAAGTGTTCAAGGCCAGGCTCTGAGCAACCTGGGATAGTGGGAGGTGTCCCTGCCCATGGCAGGGCTTGGAACTTTAATCTTTAAGGTCCCTTCCAACCCGAGCCATTCTATAATTCTGTGGTTCTGTGAATATTGAATATATTCCCAATCTAGGGCTTCTTTCCAAGTACCTGGGCTTGTTTCCACATTCAGGCAGTGACAGCCCTGCACTGGTGCCACCTTTGCCTGACCTAGGGGCAAGGGTTAGAGCCAGGTACAAAATCTAGATATGCCTGCCTGGGTGAACATGTCTTTGAGACCCTTCAGAAAGACCACAGAACACAAGTCACTTGCTGTTCTCTGCCAAAACATAGGTGTGAGGTGACATAAATTTCTGTGCTGGTCCCAGGCACTTCATTAAGGTAGTTTTGCATCTGTCACGTCCATTATAAGAGAGCTGCAAGGTCTGGCACCCTCTTCTTCCCAACACTCTGCTTTAAGGAAGGTGGCAAAAATAAAGTATTAATCTCAACAATGTAGAGGCAAAGTTTACCTCTGCCATCTCTCTGCCAGAATTGTCTGTTGAATGATGTATGTGAGTTAGCTGTCTCTATGGAAACACTTGTATTTCTACAGAAAACACAGCCTCTCTCCTACAGCCTGATTCTGGCCATCCACACTTGTGAATTCTACAGCAAGCTAGGAAAGCATTAGATTGATTGTTTTCTTTAAGAAGTCAGTATTTTAAAAATTATGGGAGATAAAAATGATATGTCTTTATCCAGAAACTTGAACCTTTTTGGACATACTTACACATCAACAACAAAGTCTCTGAGTTTTGAAGAATTTGCTGAATTTCAGCCTGAAAAGTAGAAAAAATTGGAGTTTTTAAAAAATAGTATATTTCTCTGTATCTCTCAATTTCATCAGAATGGTGACAAGTGTTCCAGTTGTAGCTGCCTTTTATTATTAGAAAGAATATACTGCATGTACCATTTGTAAGGCTACATGACAGCATGTAGATTGGAGGGGTAGGAGGTCAGATCCCATTTTCAGTCCCACTCACCTCAGCCTTTCTTGTGTCCCTCAGGGATCTACATCGTGGACAGGAGGTTCCGCTCGCCGGACGAGTCGTGCAACCAGCTGACCCAGTTCCTGTACGGGTTCTGCCAGCAGAACCGGCGCCAGAGGATCATCCAGAGGAACCGCACCGAGCGCCTCTCCGACCTCCTGGACTGGAAGTACCTGGGCAGGGTGTGTGGGAAAGAGCAATTAAAAATTCCAAGCTCATAGGCCTGGCCAGAGCCTTCAGCCCTGTGCTGAAATTCCCCTCTCCAAGGGGCTAAAGGCAGAGCCTGCACATTTCAGTGTAATCCTTCCATGCTCCAGTGGCAAAGAGACCCTGAATAGGTTAGAGCAGAATCCAGTCACACCACCAAGCTCTTGCTGCTGCTGAACACAATGTAAAAATCTGGTGTTGTTGGCAACACCTTCGCTAAGGGGGATTTGTGTTCCAAAGTCATCTTTCAGAAATCCTTCCTGTCCTTCATGAAATGTTGCTGGGCCCTGTGGCTCCTCAACATTCCTTAACTACCTCTGCGCTTTAAATGGAAAGTAGTGTTTTTAATTTGACACAGAATGCACTACAGTACCACCTATTAAGAAGACAGTAACAAATTATTGTTCTCAATTCTGCAGGACTAAAGAAGTGGATGCACATATATGAGTTTTATAACTATTTTGGACTTCTTCCTGTGTGAGAACCTTTGATACCTGTGTGAGAACCTTAGTATTTATATGGTTCCCAACACTGCATAAGATATAACAAGCTATTTTTTAATGTGCATGTGCTGCAAACTCAGGAATACAGTGGATCTAAAAATATTTTTGTCAAATTCTTAAATACCAGGCATCAGTGAACTCATAAATGTTACTTCTCTGTCACTGTTACACATGCTTCAATGCAGTCCAAAGTAACTTTGAATGAGCCTAAAACTTACATGTAATTCATATGCACACTTAAAAATGTAAGTTTTCCTCATTAGAAAAAACTCTAATTCTTTCCTGAGAGATGAAGAATACCTGTCACTCAATAGGAACCACACTGACCAAGACAAGTCCTTAATACATCTTACAGACACCCTTTTCAGCTTCTGTTCCAGACTTCTTTGTTGTGCATCTGTCATGAATGGCTCATCACTTCACAGTACAAGCAGTGATATCAACTGGATTCTGTTTATCTGAAAACACGTTTAGCCTTTGTTCAGCACCCTTTTTTAGAAGATAACTCATTTTATGTTCCTTTTCCCCCCTTGCTTAAATCTACCCAAGATTTCTATGATTTTTAATGGCTTCTCTGTTCTGTTGCAGTATTACATGCATGCCAGACACTTGGCCCTCAGCAGAACATTCCCAGATAAATTTGAGATGGAACCAAGTGCTCCACCAAAGGTAAAATCTGCTTTTGGAGATGAGTTCATTTTACCTGCTTTACAAGGAGAAGAGAGGAAGACTGTGAGGGAGAAGAGAGTTAGCGTTTATGGGTTTAACTAACAGGAAGTAGGAACTCCTAATTAAAAGCTTAATAAGTTATAGACCCAGTCTCTAGTCAGGAGGATGCTGTTTTGGGCTAGGACAGAGTCAATTTTCCTCACAGTAGCTGGGCTATGTTTTGGATTTGTGCTGAAAGCAGTGCTGACAGCACAGGAATGGTTTCATTCTTGCTGCACAGGGCTCTCACAGAGTCAAAAACTTTTCTGTTCCTCACCCACCCTGCCAGCAAGGGGCTGGGGGTGCACTGGGAGTTGGGAGGGGACACAGAAGGACAGCTGACCCTACCTGGCCAAAGGGACACTCCAGACCTTATGGCCTCATGTTCAGTGTATAAAGCTCAGGGAGGATGTTCAGAGTGCTGCTGTTTGTCTTTTCAAGTCACTGCTACCTGTGATGGGGCCCTGGTCTCCTGGGGATGGCTGAACACCTCCTTGCCCATGGGAAGTGGGGAATGAATTCCTGGGTTTGCTTTGCTTGTGTGCACAGCTTTTGCTCTCCCTACCAAACTGTCTTAATCCAACCCATGAGATTTCCCACTCCCCCCTTTTGATTCTCTCCTGGACCCCTCCAGGAGGGAGGAAGCTGAGGCTGTGTGGGGCTGAGTTACTGACTGGGGTTAAACCACAACCTACTGGTATCAGATCCAAACACAGGGGTTACCTGGTGTGACACAGGAACAGGTCTTCAGATGACTTAGACTGAGCTGGATGGCACCATGACACTTTAGACCAGCTGAGGAACTGGCCCTTGAAATTCCTCTTGGAAGAGTGGCAGCTTCTAATTTTTGCTTCTGCTAAATGCCATGGAGATGTTCTGCACCAACCACATAGAGGGGAGTTGGGAAAGGATGTTCTAGGGAAAGCAAGGCAAGGTATTGCCTTCATCTGAATATGGTATGTTGGCTGGAGCTGTGAGGGGTCTCTTTAAAGGCTCACACTTCATACAGTTCTTGCCAAGTCCAGATTAGCACCAATTTGAGAAGAGAGGCTCCTCAGAACTGTGTTACTTGAAACCAAACCTCAAAGAGCAACTCTTTTTATTTATTTTAGTAACAAGAGAGGAGGTTCAGACCAAAACCCATTTCTGGGTTCTGGTTTTGCAGATGCTGACATTATAAATAGAAAACTGTTTTGAATGTTCAGATTGAACCCTAAATTTCAGTAAGCATATTCTGACTACAGAGTACAGAAGGAGTTTGTCTTCTGCTGATTGTTTTAAGCCTCATTAAAGAGGGCCATGTTTTGCAAAAGCAATTCTGGAAGGGCAGGATGTTGTTTATGGCACAGGGTAAGCATCTCTGGCATACAAGTGTGTACACATGCTTCAGTGCAGTCCAAACTTTGAATGAGCCTAAAACTTACGTGTAAAGACAGAGTGTGCATAAGTGTGTATGACAGAGGAGGAATGAGGGGATCTGAGTTGAGGGAAGCTTAATTTTAGATTTAGGTCTAGCTTACATCTGACCACCAGCTTCCTCTGAAGTGGCGATAGCCTTAAATTGCTGTAAAAAAGCAGTGGAGGAGCTCAGCTGACACATTCCCAAAAGCCAGGGAATCTCAGGAAAACAGGAAACTGGACAGGACAAACGCAGATCTGAACCAATGTGGTTAATTGTGGGAACTCAAAATGCCTCTCAGACATTTTTAGAGGTTCCAGGCCGTGGTCAGACGCAGTCTGGACCCCAGCAGGCAGCTGGATTTAGCTGTGATTTCGAGTTTGAACCATGGAATGAATTACCAACTTTGAAGGTAGAACAAGCAGTCACAAAGTGCTAGATAGTATAGTAAATGTAGTCACAAAGTAGAGGGAAATATTTTTTGGTAGTGTACAGGGGGGTTTTAGTACATGTACAGGGGGGTTTTTACTTTGTACATGGGGGTCAGAAGTTCTAAGATGGAGGAAAGTGGGCTGAACCCATCCTTCTTCTTTCTTCTTCCTTACCTCCATGTTCTTGGTGATGTTGGCACTCACAAATTAGTTTAGAATAGAAAAACACTTGGTAACGTAGGTAATAGGTATTGGGGAATAATTGTAAACATGTTACACGTAATATATCTTATAAAAGATAGCAGCAGCCCTAGGCGGGGAGAGAAGAGAAGAAGACACCAGACAGTCAGGGTGTCAGGAGTGTGTGCCTCTCTGCCTGGGCCGCTGACCAAAGGGCCGCAGCCCGAGAACTTAATCTGTTAGATAACTAGCAATAAAACATCTTGAGACCGAACAAGAAGAGACTGCGGAGTTTTCCTTTAGAAACACGAGTTAGAAGAGAAGCTCTACCACCACACGAGAACCCCAGCCAAACCCGGGGTTCCCACAGTTAATCAAACGTTCTCCCCTTTATTAGTGAGAAGATGGCAGTTTATATACACTTCCATATAGTTTACAGCTTACAAAGGCACTCTGACTGGCAAGCTAACATTGTTTACCTTTGCCTTGAGGTGGTCAGGCTTTTCACACTGCAGCTCTACCCTAATTCATGCTTGGATAGCTGATTGCTTTGTAGTTACCTTAACATAATTTCTGACTGTGCCACTACTGAATTCTCACTGCATCAAAGGCTCAAGGCTGCTTACCAGGCCTAGTCTGGCTGTGTAGCTCAAACCTCATTCCAAACATAAATCGTGGCCTCTGTCTCTCAGAAATCCTGTAACAGTTCCCCTCGCTGCTCTCTCTGCAGACAGAAGGTTTCAGGTTCCCCAGACCCTCATCGGTGCCACCATCGCCCTCGGCCTCCCAGCATTCCAGCCCGCACCACAGCGAAGCCGAGGATGACGATGAGGATGAGAGATACGACGAGGACGAGGAGGCTGAAAGGGATAGGCAGAACATCAAGTCCCCCTTTTCCCTTGGAGCCTTGCCTCAAGGAAAAAAGAAGCAGCACGGAGAATACAGGAACTGAACTCGTTGCTCTCACCCTGGCGTCGCTCCCCATCTGCTCAACAGTTTCTCCTGTAGGCTTGGCAAGCTTTGTGTTAAGGACAGTGTGATGTAATTAGGGGAACCTTAAAGTTACTTGAGCTGCACCTTTGGAAAGCCTAATGTTATTTCACCTTGAAAATAGTTTAAATGACAATTTTTCCGTGTCCCTTTGAGGTAGAAGAAATTTTTCAGGCTTAATAAAACTAGAGAATGAGACAATCCCCTCAGGCACTTATAAAAACTGCAGATCATACCTTTGTCTGTGGAGTCATCTGTATTAATCATAGTCTAGACAAATAGCTACATTTTGGGTGTCTGTCACTATTGGACACAAAATGAGTACACAGAAACTTGGTAAGTTCAAAAGAGTAAAAGAGCCAGTTTTATTTCTGACCTCGCAATATTAAGAATTCCAAAAGTGACAGTGGATTGGAGGATGAAATTGCCACCTCTCCAACCACACTGGTCAAACCAACAGTCCATCAATTCTCTCCTCCCACAAAGAAGAATGCAAAACAATCATTATTTACATGAACAGTGCATGAAAACTCCAGCAGAAGTATGTAAACATTATCAGAAGGCTAAAGAGGTTTTATGAGAACTTTAAAACTTTCAAAAGAACTATAAAAGAAAACTTAACACTTTTAAAAATCAGGGCAACAGGAATCCCAAAGGAATTTATGCTTAATTTGTTTCCCCTTTTCCCCTCCTAAACTAACATGAACTTTAAACCAGAGCTCAAAAAATTAGAGAAAAAAGTGTCACACTGGAGAAATATTGGAAGAGTTAAAAAAGATACACTGAAAAGAAAATGGTCTTTCTTTTTCCTGATGCTGTTTATTGTAAGCTTACATAATTTAAAAGACTTTTTTACAGCACACAGAAGTGTCTTGATCCGGTGGTAAAACATGCTTCCTGTGGGGCAATATAAGGTCTTATGCAGTGGGCATTTGAATTTTAGAGACAAATGAAGTCGTCTTTCTGAGGTCATTTAGACCCACAATAAACAGCAGACCGTTTATTTTCTGATTCCTCTAGTATGTCTCTCTTATTTTCATCTTGTTGTAGATTGTAAGTTTGTTAACAAACTGGTTTGGGAGGAAATTAATGTAACTTGGCTAAAGGGAATGACAAAAGTCCTTGAGTAGCAGCTTCCCCTGCAGACAAGAAGCCACAGACCAAAGTGCCAGCATTCAAGGATCAGTAATTTCCATTAGTCCATGCTCTGTTTCACTTCTTCTAGAAGAGACCTAATCCCAACAAATAATCCTAAAAACCTTTCAGATACTATTTTGAAAAGCACTTGAGACTTCAAAGCTCTTGGGAAATAACTGATCCTCACAAGAACTAAACATTTCATTTGCCTTACAGAAAACTTTTAGAAGTATTGCAACTGCTAGAGATGCAGAGTGCCCGAATAGGCTCTTCAGAAGCACATCTTATCATTAAGAGATTAGAGATCAATCTCTTGTTTTTTCAAGTTTGTGCATCAAAAATTTCTCATGCTGCTCAAGAAAAGACCTGTTCAGAACCTTGTTAAGCCAGTCCTTTAGCAGGTAGGACAATGTAAGCTTTGGAGGTATTTACCTTTCCTAGTAAATCCTAGTAAATCTCAATCCTAGGGAGAGCCTAGATGTCCAGTTTTGGTTAGGCTCCTACCTTTCAAACACTTAAGCAGTGCTTGATGACATGGTTCTGACTATAGGCCACTTAGAATAAAAGTGATAATGTGCCTATTTGTATTTTTGGCCACCTAAAATCAGTTTTAAAACTGGACTTCCATTCTTGAGCTGATTCAGATACTTAAAAGAATATTCTCAGAAGTCCAGTTTTTATGGTAAAAACTTATTTGGAATTAAAAGGAGTCACTATTTCTTTAGCTATTTAAAAGGTAATTAAACACTGGGTAATTTCTCATATAAAAGTGGTGAAAGCAAAGATTCCGCCAATCTTTTCCTTCACACAGTTTACTACATGGAGAAAACTGCATTTTGTGTTTCTTCCACAAAGTGCTCCTAATCAGAGTTCCCTTACAGAGTCAAAAGATGTAATGACTGAGAGTCCAAGATAAAGAACATATAAAGGGCATATTGATTGCAAGTTGATGTTTTCATAAATAAATTGAGAGATCTGTATTTGTTGCTTGTATTCCACAGCTCTGCTGTAGAGCAGGAAGGCTGTGTGTGTGTTTCAGCACACTCACGTGCTTTGAGCACCCTCCTGGTGTTAGAAAGTGCTCAGCTTTCGAGATGGGACTGGCCTGAATTCTCAGATTCAGGTGCTGCAGTGGCCAAAGTGAACTTTGCCAATGCCTTGGGCTCATGTTAGTTCTGCCTTGATTCCAGGATTAACCATTAATAACAAGGCAATTTATCTACAGCAAAACACTTCTGTATGTTGAATTTAGAGTATCAGGGGAACAGCTTCTCATTCAGCCACAGCAGCAGATTGCCTAAATTAAATGGCACGCATTCCCAACAGTTACTGACACCTGACAAACTTGGTAGCTGCTATCTGTTCCATAAGGTGTTGTCTTCCAGATGGAAATCACTGGGGTTTCACAAACACCTCACCAGCAAGGCAGAAGGTTTATTCTGTTTCATGATATTTGTGGATAATTGTTTAAGCTTGAGACCTTAAATCAGGAACACACACAACAATCAGTCAGCTGGGAATAGGGTGGGTACCATTTCTGTATCACTGGGATAGGCAGAGGCATAAGAATTTCAAGGCAGTGATAAAACAAAGGATGTATAACCCCTCTCCTTTTCACTTCGCTAGTGGAAGGTGTCCCAGCTCACATCAGGGCATTTAGAACTGGTTGATCTTTTAGGTCCCTTCCTAACTAGGCCATTCTAGTATTGTGTTCTTTGATTTCATGCTACTTTTTGTCTGAGCACTGACTGATGATCTTGTAAAACATGCTGGAAAATCACTCAGATGTGCCTGAGATATTCCAAATATGTTTGAAACAAAGGGCAGCTAAATTAATGAAAGGATTCAGGTGGATACCACTGATCTTGAGGTGAAGTTCATCATGAATGTTCTGTCATACAACAAACGCTGCCATTGGAAGATATATTAGTGCTTAAAAATGAACAAAACAGGACACTTTGATTTCACCAGTTCCTCCATGAAGTGATACAGATTATAAACAACTACTGAAAGTGCCTCCATGAAACAAATTAATTCCCCTGTTCCTTCAGCTGTGTTTCTTTGTGTTGAGGTAAAGCAGCTTCATAGTCAGTGTGAGTTAGAATTAATCACAGTATTATGAGAAAGAAAGGGGAATTTAACATTAAAAGATAAAGAACATGACTAGAAGGTTAAAAAAATAAAACAGTTGCTTGGACACAGAAATCATGTGGCTATTTTTTAATTACATCAGAGCTACAGAGGACTTTCCAGTAAGACCACAGAACTACATAAATAATACATCCTTATCAGCACAGAATGATAATTAACAGATTTATGCATCATTCCAGTTCTGCAACTCAGAAAGAAAGAACAAAAAAGTACAATCACAATGCAGTTGTTAATGGTTGTTAATGAGGTCCTGATAATGCAAGGCCTGTCCCCAAACTGTCTTTATGTGCTGGGACTTGCTCAGTAGGATTATTCAGAGTATTTCTGCAGGAGTGGACTGGGTCAAAAAGTGCTGCTGCCTATTCTCTGTGCTGACTGATACCTGCCAAAAAAAAAAAAAAATTAAAAAAATCACCAGTTTTGCAGTCATAGATAGCTGGAATGTGTTTATATCTCACTGAATTTATGGACCATCAGCAGCCTACAGGGCCACCAGTGACGTGGTAATGGAATATATCTTTATCAGAGTTCAAAAAGCTTCACTATTCAGCTGAGTGGAAGGTGGTAAAGGATTTCCCAATGACAATTGAAAATCTTTTTGATTAAGTTGACCAAAAAGACAGTTTTAATTATCTTTTCAGGTGAGATGGTGCCATGTATTTTAAATTTCAAATGGGACACAAAAAATGCTCTGAAGAAAGCAGGAACTTTACAGATGTTTTTTTTTTTAATCTGAACTAGTACCTTTTAATCCCTTTGCATTCCAAATTTTGCACTGTGAAAACACCTCACCCTTTGGGAACTTCAGTGTGAATGGATGAAACACTTTACTTACATAAGAGATGCTTTCAGGTTCAAAGCTGTACAAATGTTAAAGACATTTACAATAATTTCACCAATTTAATAGACTGTCAAGTAGCCAGGGTATTCACTGTTTTCCTCTTCCACTGTAAGACAAGACACAATGGGGAAAAGTGAGTTGTAGATAAAGAAAAGTTCAGCCAGCCAAAGTTTTCAGCTTTCAGATATGCCTGAGGTACAGATTCAGTGCAGTGTGTCTGCTCAGCTAAGAGGCAGCATTTCTAGAAACAATCATGTTTTCTCTCATTTTTAAATGTAGTAATTTTTCTGTTTGCTGAGGAACAAAAATACAAACCATGTCCAGAGGGGTAAGTTATTAGCACATGACAAAAAAAAATTCATGCTGAAGAAAATAATTAATTTGTTCTTCATTTGTGCATTACCATCAGTCAAGTCTAAAATCAGCTGATCTGAAAGTGCATGGCTTACCCAGGTTTGACTGGTTATTTCCTAACACAGTGATGGAAATGTTATTCCACCTAGATTTTTTCAAACAAGCTGCCAGTTCTCAGATATTACACTTTTTTTTCCTCTGTTGTTGTCCATCTCCCCTGCTACAGCAATAGCAGGCAGGAAAATACCACTAAAATTCAGGAAAATCCACCTTCAGAGGATTTTGTGGGCATGCAAATGAGACTTTCACTGATTTAACTTTAGAAGTGCTCATATATTTTGTCCAAAGCACTATGCTCATTTTTAATTCTGCCTTTCTCCAAAATGCCACTGTGTTGGTTTTTTTTTTTTTTTT